TTCTGCACTATAACCTTTGCAATCATGCACAGTTGTTCTGGTGCTTAAAGGGACCCTTTTAAATATATCAAACATGAATACATAAGGTAAGAATTCTTGGTTTGTTGAGTTTTTGTGGAAAAGGAATGAAAACGTGTTGGACTACCATGAATGGGTAATCAACTCAAGCTTAATTAAGAAAAACAAATTCAGTTTTTACAACAATTCTAAATTAGCAAGATCTGGGGCACAAAACACAAACCCACTTATTGTATGAAATAAAAGCCTCCCCATATGCTAGAGCGATACAGTAAGTGCAGTCCTTTGTCTTAATTATTAAACCTTTTTAGTATAGTACCAGTGATTTTAGTTTTCAGACCAGATACAGGAGAAATAAATAGCAAAATGTTACAGACCAGCTAAATGTGAGCTTACAAGACTAAATAATACAACATAAATAATAAGCATCATGTATCTAGAAAAAGATTCACCAATGGCCAGCACTGGCAGCTATCATCTAAAAACACACAGGATAGGCTCATTCAGATGCAGTGATCTGGGTGCCTATAGTGTGCCTTTAAGCAGTGTGACACCAAGTTCAACTAATAAGTAATTGATCCAAATAGGGTATGCCCACTTCTAATGAACAAGTCTAAGAATGGTGTGATATAAAACTCTCTTTCTCAAAAAGAAATACTTTTTGCAGTAAAAGAATTTCACTTCATTTAATTAGTAACAGAAATACAAACATAACACTAAATCATATCCTGTTTAAAAAGTGAGGAGAAATAAGTTGAAGATATTTAAGCAATTACAGGGCTGTATATGACTTATGTATTAGAATCATGTTCAATTGTTTTTTCTCTGACTTACCTCTCTGGATTTCGGAAATATTCTGGGATATTCAGGAGGAAGTTCCATAGAGCTGTGTTATTTTGCACTTTTTTTATCTGTGTTGAGAAATTCTTTATCGTAGTTAGTATAGTTGTTGGGTCCTTTATCTTCAAGGAAACAAATAAAACCGGATGTAAGTTTATGCCATTAAGTGTATCTTACAGAATATAATGCATTTATGAAAGTTTGGAGAAATAGAATTAAATAGTAATACCTTTTTTAATAATCTCTGTGATTAGCAATTGGTATACCATGTTAACTAATAATTGCTCGGCTATTTGAGAGCCCCAGAGATCCTTTCACTACTCGTTCTTTGTTAGCTGACAGGATTATTCACTAAACTCTGCATTGAAGCAGATTAAAATCAAAATGCCAAAGGTCAAGTAAAAATAGACAAGCTATAAATATTAAAGAGGTTAATGAATAGCATCTCGATTTATATCACTGCCATTATGGTACCTGTAACAGAAGTTGTGAAGTAATGAAATCTGACAGGGTCTGGTTGCTTGTACAGAAGGAAGTAAAGATGAGGTCGGCGTTGCTTATGTTTAGTGTAAGGTTTGCATTAACAAAAAAACATAGAACTCCTTTTATGTCTCCAGTACTCAAATCATCGATCAGCATCTATAAATGAACAAGAAGAGGACATATTTAACAAATCATAGAAACATAGAATGTGACGGCAGATAAGAACCATTCGGCCCATCTAGTCTGCCCAATTTTCTAAATACTTTCATTAGTCCCTAGTCTTAGCTTATATTTAGGATAGCCTTATGCTTATCCCACGCATGCTTAAACTCCTTTACTGTGTTAACCTCTACCACTTCAGCTGGAAGGCTATTCCATGCATCCACAAGTAATACTTCCTGATATTATTTTTAAACCTTTGTCCCTCTAATTTAAGACGATGTCCTCTTGTTGTGGTAGTTTTTCTTCTTTTAAATATAGTCTCCTCCTTTCTTTGTGTTCTTAGAAAGAGTGATGATATGAGTTAGAATAGTGAGTAGATTTAATTGCAATGCCACACCATTGCTAAAATTAAATATATTTATTTATTTTCAGACTGTTGGTGGATGATTAGTGTTTAAATTCCCTTTCCTATAACAGTGGTTATACTGTAAGCTTAGAAACAGTCACTGGTAGAAAAGGCACACCACTTGCCACATTAATATTTACTATTAATTCTACGAACTTCTCAGTATGTTTTACAATGTCAGAAAAGTCTCACTAAACTTCAATTCCCATCACATCATACACATTCATCTGGGAAATGCTGTGATTTTCTGTCCTGGAATAATTAATTAATAATTATATTAATTATAGTGCAGTTCTGTAACGTTACCTTCCCGTCATTGATAGCGTCTATGTACAGTTCCACGTTTGTTGAATTGCTCTCTGAAAAATAGAATTTTAAAAGACATCATAATAAAGAACAAATCATGTGTCAAAGCAGGAGTGGAGCTGCACCAGGGCCCACAGGATTGTGATTCCCATCAGGTGACCACAATCATGTGTGTGTGTGACAATGTGGTATATATATGTGTGGCAGTGCGTATATCTGTGAGTATGTGGTAGTGTATATCTGTATATATTATATTATGTGAATACACCCAGTAGTGGGATTCAAAAGTTTTAGTAACCAGTTCCGACTTTTCATATGTTTCCAACTCCACAGGGTCGGCCCAAGACATTGTGCTGATTGGGACCAACACTCCATCCCACCCAAGTCATGTGCGCACACACAAGCACATCAACACACATATATGCCCTGGTTGGCAAAAACACATGGGCGGCAGGGTAATGCTATGAATGCAATAAATGCATAAACCTTGTATATTATGCCAATGAGCAGCAAATGCATACATCCTGAATACCATGCCAAAGAGCAGTAATTTCTTAAACTTTGTATATCATGCCAATGAGCCACATGTGGCTCCAAAACATCTGCTGGTTCCATGTGCCCCAAATCAAACTGCCAGTGCCATCAGCCTCACTGTGCCATCTCTCTGCCCTTAGCCTCCCTGTGCCATGTCTCTGCCTCCAGTGATAGAGTGTGTGTGGGAGGGTGACAGTGTGTGGGAGGGTGACATTGTGTGGGGATGTTGACAGACAGTGAGTATGGGATGGTGACAATGTGAGGGGGATTGTGACAGTGTGTTGTGTGAGAGGCACAGTGTGTGGGATGGTGATAATTTGTGTGGACAGGGACAGTGTGTGTGGGTGATAGTGTGTGGGATAGTGACAATGTGTGTGTGATGGTGACAGTATGTGTGGGAGGGTGGCAGTGTGAAGGGATGGTGACAGTATGTGAGAATGGTGACAGTGCACGTGGTGGTGACAATATGGAAGGTGGTGAAAGTGGGGTGATGGTGACAGTATGGGAGGTGGTGACAGTGCACGTGGTGGTAGCATGGGGGGATAGTGACAGTAGGGGGTGGTAGTGTGTGGGGATGGTGGCAGGGTGGGGGGATGGTGGCAGTGTGGGAAGTTATAAGGGGGAAATGGTAACAGTGTGTGTGTGTGGGAGGGTGACAATGTGAGGGGATGGTGACAGTGTGTAGGGTGATAATGTGGGAGGGAGACAGTGTGTGTGGGTGATAGTGTGTGGGATGATGATAGTGTGGGAGGGGGACAGTGTGGGGGATGGTGACAGTGTGTGTGGGAGGGTGACAGTAGGGGGATGGTGATGGTGTGCGTTGGTGACAGTGTGGTGAATGGTGACAGTGGGGCAGATAGTGATAGTAGGGCAAATAGTGACAGTGTGTGTTTGGGAGGGTGACAGTCTGGGTATAGTGAAGGTGGTGAGTGTGGAGGGATGGTGACAGTGTGGGAGGTGGTGACAATTTTGGTAGTGGTGACAGTGGGATGGGAATGGTGACAGTGGAGGCAAGATGACAGTGTGGGAGGTGGTGACAGTGTAGGAAGTGGTGACAGGGTGGGAAGTAGTGACAGTGGGAGGAGGATGGTGACAGTGTATGGAAGGTGACAGTGTAGGAAGTGGTTACAGTAGGGGTTGATGGTGACAGTGTGGGAAGTGGTGACAGTGGGGATGGTGGTGACAGTTGGGTAGTGGTAACAGTGGGTGTGGTGGTAACTGTGTGGGAAGTGGTGACAGTGGGGGGATGGTAGTGTGAGGGGATGGTGACAGTGGGGGAGGGGTGGTAGTGGGAGGGGATGGTAAAAGTGGGTGTGGTGATAGTGTTAGGGAATGGTGACAATGGGAGGTGGTAATGTGAGGGGATGGTGACAGTGATGGTGGTGGTAGTGTGATGGGATTGTGACAGTGGGGGGTGGTAGTGTGATGGGATGGTGACAGTGGGGGGGTGATAGTGTGAGAGAATGGTAACAGTGGGGGTGGTAGTGTGAGGTAATGGTGACAGCGGGGGGGGGGTTGTAGTGTGAAGGGATGGTTACAATGGGATTAGTGGGGGGTAGCTTGTGGGGAGGCTGTGTCTTAATGAAATACTTTTTTTTTGTGTAATCCATTCCCTGGTGGTCGAGTGGTCTCCTCCTCCCTGGTGGTCCAGTGGTACAGGTATCCTGTCTGTCAGAACCTTCCTGTCTGCAGCTCTCCTGATATTGGGGGGGATGGTAACAGTGGGAGGTGGGGGGTGACAGTGTAGGAATTGGTGACAGTGGGGTAGTGGTGAAGCATGGAGATAGTTGTAAAACATTCAAGAAACTACCTCTTAGCCAACCCTCTTTTATACTGTGCCCCCTCAAATTCTCTTCAAATTTATTTTGTTTTGGAAAAGAATAAAATTTAATATAGTATTTAAGTGCCTAATTAATTCAAGAATGCAACTAAATACAGTATTTACCACTGATCGCAAAAGTATTATAGTATAATAATAAAAAGATCCAAAAATTGCCGTGGCATGTGTCTCCCTACTGTACCCTCAGCTAATAAGCTCTATACTATATAAGAGTACAAAGTGTAAAAGCGTTTGCTGTTAGCATTATTACTAATATCAGTTATATGGAGTGTACTGTAATCATTGCAGTCATGTACCTTGTTTGCCTTAAAACTTGGATAGTTTAATATATGCTTCCTAAATACATATTCAGTTCAGACCCATGTTAGCAAAAACACATTTGGAGAGAAAGTTGCCAAAGAAAAACATACGTGAGGATGTTGAGTTGTTAATCCGTAAATCGGTTAAGCCAAGTCCTCCAGTATCTATGGAACGTTTTTGTATCCTGAAACTAAAGCAACCAGATAAAAAAAAAAAGTTGAAAGTTACATTTCACCTGAGATCAAGAAGTGCCTGTGCTCATATGATTAAACCATGTCAGTTATCCATAAGTGCAAAAGAAGAACATTCACTTCCTATATTATTACCACTTTAACCTTCTTTTTATGTTTTGTATTTGAGAATAGGAGTGTGATTCTGGATTGAAGGAGACCTTTCATAAAGAGTGGAGGTATAGTAAGATGTGTGTTGTACCTGCTGTTAGCATTATTACTCTAAGGTTATTAAAGGGACACTGTAGTCACTATAAGCATTTCATCTCTTTGAATTGGTTATAGTGCCTGGAGTGCCCTGGCACTGTCCCTCTATTCAGTGTTGCACCATGTCCGTGCAGTATGCCACAAAATAAGAGTCCCTGGCCCCCACAGTCCGGCCCCTTCAGTATGTGTAGCTAAGGAAGAGATTACACACTTCCTTGTTGTCATACCCATTCATACCGTCAGTTGGAACTCTGACAGGCTAAAAGCAGTCAGCTGACACTCTCAGCCAATCACAGCTGCCTATTGCTGCTCAGGCTAATACTTCCTTATTAGCCAAAGCAGCACATAGGGGATGGACTGCCGGGGACTCTTGTTTAGCATTAAAACATAAAAACTTTAAAAACTGTTTAATGCTGAAAGAAATGATTGTACCAGAGGACTCCAGACACTATAACCAGTTTAATGAGATGAAGCAGATACAGTGCCTATGGTGTCCCTTTAAGCAAAATAAAAAATGTTGGGTGTTCAACATGAAATTTTGTTAAAGCAGCAGAATTTTTTTTTTTTCATTATAAATTCTTTTATTCAGTTTCTTACATAAATATAAATATCAACACAACACCATAAGTCACATGACATCTTTACACAATCCAAACGTTCACAATACACAAACAAGTTACACTATTATCTGCGGCAGCAGAATTTAAAAATAAAATATCCAGTCAGCTATGTTTTGCCCTGTAAGTTAAAATTTACACTCACCAATCACCAATCACACCTTACAGAGTTATGCTCTAAAGTCTGAATGGTCTCATAACAATTGAGGCAAAACCATCAAGCTGAGGGCAGTTTGAACGGCAAAATCCAGACATTGTTCATGGTATTTAACAATGTGTCAATTTTGTAATTCAGGCCCCAGATCAGTGGCAGTTGGTGAAGTTTTTAGATGGCTGGGTGCTAGGCTCCACCCTTGGAATTTGATCCCACCACTCTCTGTAAACTCTGCCCCTAACCTTTTGGACTTTGCCCAATTATTGTGGTAATACCCATAGTCTATTAATAACATACAGTTGTTGTTATTATGTACAGTGCCACCTAGTGTCCAATTTGTTGTTATTTTTGTGTATTTTTTAATACTTTTACTATTATTTTAATTTAAAAAAATATATAAAAAAGCGAAAGGTAAAAATATTATTATTTGAGGTCACTGTTGAACAGTTTAGTTCAATTTCTATGTGCAGAGTGTCAGACAAATTTGTACCTGGCTGGGGTGCAGGGATGTCAGTTCCTTCCTGGATGAGCCTGCAGTGAAAAGTTGTCGGCAGGGAAGGAGGAAGGGACTCAAAGCATGGAGCAAGGGAGGGCTTAATGGAAGGCTTAACAGAGACTGCAGGGGAGAGTATAGGGATGTATTCAAAGTAGGGAGCTAGAGGAGAGCTGTCAGACACTCTTCACTTTTCACGTTGTGCCGCAGAAGCAGCAGGCTTAAACAATGCAGCAGTCATGGATTCAAAATAGAAGTTGCATCAGGGAAAGTAAAGTTCTGCCAACTACATACCCTGGTGCTGGTAGCCCATGACAGCCATTTAGTCCCTTTTAGGGTAGCATATTTGCCCCCCAGTGTTGCCTAATTTATTTTATTGACATGGACGGACTTACAACTCACGGGGCTCGAGGAGATCAAGGACACCCTCCTGGTGAAAGTGTTTTTTGCTACTACAACTATCTGTGTTAGAATTTATAATGTGTCTTGTTTTACCTATTGTATAGTGCTGCAGAATATGTTGATGCTATATGAGTGATTGTAATAATTGTGTGTGTGAGGGCTCGTTGTGTTGCGGTGTTTTTAGATAGGGGTGGTTGAATGTGTGTGGGATAGATGCTGTAATGGGCGTTTGGGGATACTGGGTTTGTAGTGTGTGTATTTGTATAGATAATAGTGGCTCTACTGTATGTGGGGCATATAGAGGCAGCAGTATGTCTGTAAGTAAGATATTGGCTGCAGTTTGTGCATGGGGGATAGGGGCTGCAGTAGGTGCCTGGGGCTATAGGTGCTGTAACAGCTGCAAGGGAGATAGGGGCTGAAGTAGGTGTGTTGTGGCATAGGTGCTGTAGTGGGTGCAGTGGGGCATGGGGGCTGTAGTGGATGCAGGGGGCATAGGGCCTGTAGTGGGTACAGGGGTGCATGGGGCAGCAGTGGGCACATAAAGGCATAATGGTTGGGTGCAGGAAGACATAGGGGCTGTGGTGGGTGCAGGGGGTGATGGGGGTTGAAGTATGTACATAAGGAATGTTGAAATGTTGAAAATATTTACAAGGAGCATGCCTGGTGTCTCTGCCAGGCTACTCCTTATCTTCACAATGTTCACAGACCAGGAGAACTCTGCAGTGTGGGAGAGGAGAGGGCAGGAAGTGATGTATCTTCCTATTTCCCAGCCTGGCTCTTCTCCTCACACAGATAGCACAGGAGAGCATGGAGGAAAATCTGGCAATAACAGCAGGAACGCTGCCAGGTCTCACCAAGGAGGTGGGATGGTCAATGGCTGCCCAATTGCTAGGTTTAAATATGTGTTACATATGTGGCAAACATACTGTATGTGGCAGACATATGATACTAATATCGGGATCTTATTGACCCACATAGGGATTTTTATTATTAATTTGCATATTTACTTTTACAATATGGCAGCTGGCCTTGCATTGCTGTGGGTTATTTAACTACTTGCACTAGAGGCAAATAGTACTTGAAATGATCATTTTCAAACTCCAATTTTAATCTGGACACCAAATGCATCTGGATTCTGACTGCATTTGGCTTTAGTAAATATAAGAATTGCCAATAAATGTCAGAATTTGGTCATTACAAAATACAATAGAGCAATCAGCTGACACTCTTTGTTCAAGAGAGCTTATGGAATTTTTAAAATGATTATTTTTATCCCTATATTCCTCTTTGTTTTTTAACAATTTCCCTTGTGTTTTAGGCGTGCATAAGAAAAACCGTGACTGCTTCTTATAATAGGGAGTGTGACCTTTGGCAATGGGCAGATTTCAAGCAAAGTTCAGTTTCACTTGCAGAACTAATTCACAAACTATCCATCATTCAAAAGAATCCCACAGGAGGGACATCATGGAAAAAGGGGATCGAAATGGAGGCAGCCAGGTATTGAGATCCAGCACAAGGAAGAAAAAATAAGATATGGAAGTCACAGGCACTAAGTACTGTGGCACATATGTATGGTGGCAATGAAGGAGTTAATCTACCTTTTCTTGGATTGGAATGTAGAGAAGTTTTAGATTTTGTGGCAGTTGGTCAGTTAGACAGGTGTCTGGTCAGAATTGATGACACTGGGGACTGGAGCTAGCCTGAGATTGGTTGATGGTTGCAAGCAATAAAAGAGCGGAAAACAGAGAGAGTATAAAAAGCAGCAGCACAAGTTTAATCCGGTCAGAGTGAACTGAAGCAGGACCAGGGCGAACAGACCCCTCCCTCCCTTTAATTTTAGCCTCCCTGGCGGTTAATTTACAGTACCAAAAGCGGTAACCCCAAGCCACGCTCAGGATTACACTGTAGTATCACGTATCTTGTACCTATGAGCCCCTGGTGTATAAAAATACACACAATACATTGTAAAAACAATGTACTGCTTTAACATTAAAAAATACTGAGATAATCAGACCGCCAGGGAGGTTAATTGTATTGTCATGGTGTTATGATGCATTGGGGCAAAAGTCAGGGTCAAGTTCAAAAGAAGGATATGGTGGTAAATGGTTTTAAATAAAAGGTGGTCAGGTCATCTAAGACTGACTGGCTATTTGGTGGGTTCATAAAGTTAAAGGCTTGTAAAGGTTAAAGTTTGTCATATGGTTACGGCTATGAAATTATGGTTGTAAGCCCCTTCAGCTTTGCATAAACACAACTGCCAAAAAGTAAAAGTAATTGAAAAGTAATTAAATGTTGTCTGTGGCTATTGTGTGGTCTCATTGTATTTATACTAATATTGCCTACCATACATTTAAATAAAAGCAAGTAGCAGTCGTTGCATATAATAACTAATAAACAGAAGGCATGAAAACTGAAAGAAAAAAAATGACACTGCTGCATTAAACATAATTAACTTAATGTTTCTTAGTATTATTTTACAAGATATAGACACATATACAGTTTCAACATTCAAATGTTTTATTTCAGTTGGTACCTGCTGACAGATTTTGGGGTGTATGGATCTGGAGAGTAGGATTTGTTTTTGCATTTTGTGTCTGTGTCACAAAGAAAAGTTTCCAGGAAAGGTATTATTCCAGCACTCTGGAGACTGCGGGGAGCCAGGTAACCTGTAAACAATAAGTCATGATCACACTTGGACATATTTTACATTACTTAAATAATTGGCACGCACACATTTTCAACTAAGGCAACAGATGGACTGGAGCTTTTTTCATCCTACATTTCTATGTAACTAAGATAATCAGATAATCTACATCAAAGGCTTACTCTTATCTATCAAGCTGCATAAATAAAAAAAATAGAAAGAAAGAAGAAAATCTGAGAGAATAAAAACATAATTCCCCAATGTACATTGTTATCTTGTCAACCATATTAAAACTTAAATAAACACTGTGTTCGGAATACAAACATGTATTCCTAATGTTATATTCAAGCGACCCCTCACAGGCTGTGGCACTCTGACTCACTGAAAAGCGCCAGAAGAATGCAAGGGAGATCCTAATGTGCAGACCACAAAGCTCCTTCAATGGCACGAGGACATCTTTTGCTCTCTTTGTCAGCTGATGGAGGACCCCCTCACAACCAGACCTGGAGCTCCAGGCCCAAAAAGGAGCCCTCTGGGCCTCTGTCTAAGTCTGAGCCCTAGTTGGCCACATAATGAGTAATCTGGCTCTGGATGGATTCCCCATACCTTGCAATATCCATGAAAAATGTGACCATTGTTTTTCTTCACTCCACAATCCACACTTTTTCACAGTAGCAAAAATATCAAGGAAAAGTAGCACTGGGCAGCAAGTATGCAGAAACAGACACTTGCATCATGGATGTTTTGGGATGAGCTCAATCAACCACGCTTAGAGTTACACTGACAAAGCTACATTAAATCCAATATTTCAGGGGTGAATAAAATTCCACAAATTTCTCACTCAAAAGACATGAATATTCTGAGCAAAATTCTACCAAAGTGCATGCATTGGACACCAGAATTTACAGATTTCTCCCACTTAAAATATGGACATTTGTACTCACAAAGTACTGCTAATAAAAATATATCTAAATCACTGGTATTTTATGTCAAGACATGACATTTTCCCACAATCTAGGAACTAAGGCCAAAAACGTATCAGTTATCATGTGTGTATTTATATCATATAGACACAAAACTTTTAAATGTAAATTAGAATGGATAGTTTAGAGAACTGATTAAAAGTGGATGCAAGACAATAGTTAATCACAGGAAAGTTAAGAGAAATACACGTTATTTGTCACTAGGAATTGGCCATGGCTATAGTTAAAGGACCACTCTAGGCACCCAGACTACTTCACTTAATGAAGTGGTCTGGGTGCCAGGTCCAGCTAGGGTTAACCCATTTTTTCATAAACATAGCAGTTTCAGAGAAACTGCTATGTTTATGAATGGGTTAAACCTTCCCTATTTCCTCTAGTGGCTGTCTCATTGACAGCCACTAGAGGCGCTTGCGTGCTTCTCACTGTGATTTTCACAGTAAGAGCACGCAAGCGTCCATAGGAAAGCATTGATAATGCTTTCCTGTGTGACCGGCTGAATGCGTGCGCAGCTCTTGCCGCGCGTGTGCATTCAGCCGACAGGGAGGATCGGAGGAGGAGAGCTCTCTGCCCAGCGCTGGAAAAAGGTAAGTTTTAACACCTTTCCCCCTTCCAGAGCCGGGCGGGAGGGGGACCCTGAGGGTGGGGGCACCCTCAGGGCACTATAGTGCCAGGAAAACGAGTATGTTTTCTTGGCACTATAGTGGTCCTTTAAGTGATTTATGCCAACAGGCAAGATTAAAACAAAAAAATAAAGGTCAACCTGGTGAATATACCACTCTGATGCCCCATCTTAAATAATACACCTCCTAATAGAAACAAAAAAACAAAGTGTATTTATAGGAAAGACGGAACCTCCCAAAACCAGAACCCCACTAATATGTATACTACTCTATCATCTTTTTATCTCCCTTGCTTTGTGTATGAGATTCATGCACAATAATTTCTTATGAGAGCTGCAGGATTGGTACCTCTGTTTATTTGTTTACCACTGTTGTCTAGTGCCCTCAAGTGGACTAACAAAGTAAGGTCATGACACGAATGGAGAGTATGGAAATGTGGTATCATCTTTATTAGGAGAGAATGAGAACAGGGTACTATCTACATGAGGAGAGGATGAGAATGGGGAGCTATCTATGTGTGGAGAGAATGACATTGGGCTACTATATACAAAAACGAAACTAGTGAGAGAGCACACTGTGTGTGAAAATATAGGATAACCAGTGAAATAAAAATAATACTGTATAAGTCAATAGTGAACCAGTTACACAAAAATAAGTCCTGCGCTCAGAAACCCATTACTAACAAAAAAAAAAGAAAAGAGTTACCTGCGCACTATCCCATTTTTCAATAAATTTAGGTTTTTTGTTTCACTCCAAAGGCCATTACATGTAAGTCCACCTGTCACATCAAGGCAAACCTCTAAAGTGTGTCATACATATTGGGTATTTTTCTAAACCCCTACATACTTATTTTTTTTTGTTTGTTATTCTTTGTTTTTATTGAGGCATAGGTTAAACGTTAAGTACAACAGTACAGTAGCAGTACAAATGCAATATAGGCAATAACATAACAGCACATGGGTATCGACTGGTACACTAAAGTGATGTGAGATCATTGCTCAAGCAAGGTTGCTGAGAGATTAGGCAAACCTCTTTTAAAATAAAATGAATTCAAATAACACACGCACATTCTATGTGATAAGTAATGACAAGAAATAAACCAATAATACATGTCAATAATGCTAGTGTTAAAGGTATGGAAGAGGATTATCAAGATATGTAGAGTCAGCTTAGTTGTATAGAACATGTATATGAATCACTGAAATTGAAATCATGTTTATCCAACAGAAGTATGAAGATGGGCACCTTGCCCAAGAGTGGTATGATGATAAACAGATGCGTAAAAACCACTGAGACAAGGCCTATGCCGCTGCACCACAAAAAATACATAAAAGTCAGCACATATAAAACCAGTTGAGACATAGATATCAAATTGGCATCCGCTCTCTACTTAGAAGTTCATAAGTCAGGTAGCAGTCCTAAGGCCCAAGTCAGCCGACCCCCACCATGTAGGTGGTCTGATTGATGAGTTGTCAGGATATTCTTATAAGTATTCGCAAGAGGGTTCCAGGAGTGAGTACTCTCCCTGACCCAAGACTGCCCATGGGCTAGTTTCTCTGCATCTCGGAAATAAAGACTGTCTCTTACAAAGCCTTTTTTTTCTGGGGATAGCTTGAGAGTCTGGGTATAGATTGCAGAGTCTGGCATTTGTTCTTCTGTGTCCGCAAACGCTGTAATTTAGGAAGGCTTCTACTGATTTTCATGCTAGACTGACTAGGAGGTAGCCGTGGAGGCGTCTGCACGGACTTACTTCTTGGAAGGGACTTTCCTGCCCTAGGTTCCTTGCTTCTTTCGACTCCTTCTTGAAGCATGTTCCAGTCATTCTCTACAGGCATTGGTCTGTGGAGTTGCGGTGTGCTGGCAGAGCAAAGCTCTATTCTGGTAAGCTTGTTGGGAATGCGTTTTAAGTTGATAAAACTTGTCTGGCAATGACTGATGTCTAAGGGGGAGAGGGGTAGGAGTTCAGCTGAGCTGCATGAGGAGTATAGGAGTGAGAGGAGCGTCTTCCTCCCAATTTCAGTGCTGATAGGCCGCAATGTAGCACTATGGGCCCCCGGCAGTGTCGGGTTTGGGTTTTGAACAAATCCACGATGTGGATAGTGCACGTAGTAAATGTGATAGTTTACAAGCCGCTTGTATTACCTGAAACGTAGACGGTGTGGACCAGAGCTCATGCAGCACCCGTCCGAACAGCATGAATGTCAATATATCTTAATTGTATTACACTCACATTTTCATAAACCTGTATGTCAATGGATCAAGTAAATTTGCATAATGTGTGGTAGGTATCCCAGAATGGAGCTTCTACAAGTAATCCTTCCAGGATTAAAATTAGAATAAAAAAACACCTGATGATGATCATGGACTGTCAAAATGCATTGTGCGTCTATCTTATCCAAAGGAATATTAAATATGACACCTTACTTTCATGTAAGAGTTTTATGTTTGTTATTACGATAAATTTGGATATTTTATTTTTAATCTGTGGCTTTCGTATTCCTGAGAGGATCTATTTTTTAGAAGCTCCACTCTGGGATACCTGCAACACATCATGCAAATATACTCGAGCCAGTAACATACATGCTCAAGAAAATGGGTGCTCAAGAATATTAGGACCAAAATCAGTCGCTACAATCTTGAAAAAGTACCTTTGGCTGTTCATAGAAAACGGCCTTTTAGGATGCAATGTGTGTTGTGAGGTTAAACAACTTGGAATGTCTGTTTTATATGGTTACTCTGTTTCCAAAGAACGGAGCACTGGTATGATTACTCATTATATGGCAAAACAAGAAAAGATATGTTGACCTCACTGCGTAAAAACATCAATGTACAGAAGATTTCAGAACCACAAGTACAAAGCAGGACATATCCAAACTGTATCTAGAAAGGAGACACTGCAGTCCAACATTTCAAAACAGCAGAAGCATACATTTTAGTCCACCACTAAACTGTTTTGCACTGCCTACTTTTGTGTGTAAAAAAAATGCCTTTTTACTGACTTTGAGAGCATATCAGTTTTCAAGTTGCAAATAGTGCAGACTTAGGATGTATTCTCCTTAGTGAGTATACAGCTGCTCAAATAATAGATTGCATTGCCAGAGAAATGAGAAAAAAAGCTTTGCAAGACAATTATTGAACAGGCTCCAAAAAAATCTGTATATATTGATGGGTCATTACACTTGTTTAGGTGCTGCTCTTTTGATATATATGTTTATATTCCTTTTTATAAATAATTGGCCTTTTTTTGGTTTTAAGATTTTCTTATATTGATGGGTCTACTACAGTTTCTTCACATTCAGTGTTAATTGTTTATATTCAAGATCGTGTTAATGGAGACGAACCAATCAGTCTCGATTTGCTTGGTTTGCCTAAAGCAGATCCAGAATTTATTAAAGCCACTGTTCTAGCTTGTCTTCTTAAGCATGGGTACAGTCAGTGGTGTATCCTGGTTTTGTGCTGCCGTAGGCATGTCTGCATGCAGAGGGAGGAGACACTAAATGTTTGGATGCATTTTAGGCAGCCATGACCCAGGAAGGATTTCTAACAGCCATCTGAGGAGTGGCCAGTGAAGTTATCACTAGGCTGTAATGTAAACACTGCATTTTCTCTGAAAAGACAGTGTTTACAGCAAAAAACCTGAAGGAAATGATTCCACTCACCAGAACAAATTCAATAAGCTGTAGTTGTTCTAGTGACTATAGTGTCCCTTTAATTAATGCCTTTCACCAGATTGCTTTACAAAAATATAGTAATTATACTTTGAAATGTAAAGAAAAATTTGTAAATGACCACAAATGGGCAAGGGATGAAATCAGATGCAATGCGTGTTAAAAATATAATAGTTTTTTATATTCAGAAATGGGTTTAGGTATGTGTTAACACAATGTCAAGAAAACTCAATACATTGTATAACTCGTTCTGCCGACAAAGCATCACAATTATGGAACGACCTTCCACACACTTTCAAATCTTTCCCAAGCCTAAAGTCCTTTAAGAGATCCCTCTCTGCATACCTCAAAACAGAATGCACGTGTCATGGTTGATTATATATTTCCTACCTGTTCTATGTTAAATTTTGTATATGTTGTGTATTAATATTGTTTTTGTATTTTATTGTATCAATGCAATGTTTTGTGGACCCAGGACATACTTGAAAACGAGAGAAATCTCAATGTATCTTTCCTGGTAAAATATTTTATAAATAAATAAATCAAGACACCAGCACTGACCTTAGAGAAGCAGTTGTTGCTGCCCATCAAACTGGGAAAGGTTTATATGGCCATTTCTAAACAATTTAAAGTCCATCATTCTACAGTGAGAAAGATCATTCAAAAGTGGAAAACATTTTGCCAGTATTCCCAGGAGTTGAAGTCCCAGCAAATTTAACCCAAGGTCATACCATGCAATGCTCAGCGAAATTGCAAAAAAACAAGAGTTACTCAGATTCTCAGATTTCTCAGATTCTTCAGGCCATAGTTAGCATGTTAAATGTTAAAGTTTATGACAGCACAATTAGAAATAGACTGAATAAGTATGGCTTGTTTACAAGGATTGCCATGAGAAAGCCTCTAAAAACAACATGGCAGCATGGCTTAGGTTGGCAAAGTTGCATCTGAACAAATCACAAGACTTCTGGAACAATGTCCTTTGGACAGACGAGACCGAAGTGGAGATGCTTGGTCATAATTTAGAGCGCCACTTTTGCTGAAAACGAAACACAGCATATTATCACAAACTCCTCATAAAAACTATCAAGCACAGTGATGGAGGGGTGAAAATTTGGGCTTGTTTTGCATTCACAGGACCTGGGCACCTTGAAGTTATTGAGTTGACCATGAACTCCTCTGTATACCAAAGTATTCAAAAGTCAAATGTGAGGCCAATCTTTTTGACAGATGAAGCTTGGCCGAAATTCATGGAATACCTTGTAGCGGAGGCCTGGTATTTCACAGGTTAACTCCACTAAGATCCCAGTGAGGCTCAGGAACAAGTGATGAAAAGTCCCATGAAGCAATAATTCCAATAAGCAAAGCAATCCACGAATATCCCCATACAGATCCCAATGACTGGACGACACACAGCATCAGGAGCAGAACTGATGTTTATTCCACACAACCTCCTTTTAAGCATTTCTCCCATGCAAGGGAGGGATTCACATTCATTAATACAGTACCCAATGAAATAGCAGTTACCTCCCACACCTCTCCTCCCCTTAGTATGACACCTAATCCCATTATACAGGTTACAGTTTTCCCCAAGTTCTGGATGTACCCCAAGATTAGCAGGTACACCCATACTTTGGGTACCCCCTGGTAGCCCTGATCCGGGTGACTAACATATCCAAAATTCACCCAGATCTGACCAGGGGTTCGGGAGTTAGGTGGAGGGAGAAATTTGACCGACCGCACACGAGGTGGTATCCAAAATGGGTTCCATGCGTTTTGGCCCTGCGGTTGGTCTCCGTTCGGGAGGTAAAATACATTGAAATACATGCCATCCATGATTAAACTGTCATTCGCCTGAATGCCCTTGTTCGGTACTCCAAACTCACCGAACGGGAGGCTGATTCATCTTCCCGTTCGGGAGTTATGGAGCTCTGGAGGTGTCAGCGGTGTTCGGGTAATCGAGTGTCCGATTTGAGTTCCAGACACTCGACGACCAAACACCGCTGAGTCTTTCGTGCTTAAGATGGCCGCCGCCACGTGTTTGTATGCCGAATGGCGGACACCCAGATACAGCAATAATCCACCTATTAGTCTGCGGTTAACACATGTTCGACACTTAATTGGGAACACACTTCACTCTGGGGAGGTCTATTAGTTCGGTAGTTTCCATTCGTATGAAATACATATGGAAACTACCGAACAAACATACGAATGCTAGTTACAGGGAATTACAAAACAGAATTAACACACGAATTGCAGGATTCCCATAGTCTTTTAAGGACAGCCAGAGTGCCATCCGCTACATACCTATATTTGCTCGCTGAGATAGGGGGTTTTATGTAGCATTATAAAATGTATTTTTATGTTTGCGCTGTTCCTTAATCTGTATTATGTATACATTTTGGTCACTACAGCAGCACCATTCCTGCAAAATGCATGTTCCAGGTGTGCCCCCAATTCCTTTTGTATTTACTTGGGATAGCAACCAATCACACTGCAAAGCTTGAATAAATGATTAAATGACAATTAGTGTGAATGCAGCACAGTGTTTACAAGGAAGAGTGGGGGCAGACAATGGCAAGGACTGTGGACCATTTGAGAGATTTAGGAAAGTGTCAGGGCAGCCAGTATGAATTGGTCTGGAGGAGTTCCTAGAACAATGGGACAACACCCTGTTGGGAAAACAACAAAACAGGAATGGGGGGGGGGGGGGAAGGAGCAGAGGGGGAGGTAGGGAGGGGCAAGGCACATACAAATATGACAAGCAATAGATTAAGTTTGCTTCCAACTACAGAATATAGAAAAACCAGATGACAAGCAACTGATATGTGTTATGACTATTCCCTTTAATAGGAAGTATGGCATTGGGAGAGAAACCTAAAGGTTCTTCAAACATTGATCTAGTAATCATGATCAAAAGTATTTGAAGTGTCATAAAAATAAAACTGCAACATCACTTCCTCACAAAATGCTTCAAGCAAACACACAAACAAATATTCCTGACACTATAGTATTATTATGTAATTATTTATGTTATTATTTATATAGCGCCAACAAATTCCACAGCTTTTTACTATAGTCCTGAAGTGGCTGCTTAGGTGATCGCCCCCCCTCCGATCTAAGTAAAAAGGTTACTTACCTTTTTTACCAAGCTGCAGAGGTCTCACTGCAACTGGCCCTGACGGGCTCTGCCTCCATGGCTGATATCATCAATCCTGATGATCTTATTCCATCTAATCCCAAAACGTTCATGCACTGCAAAACGTCATACTGCGCCAATCATCATCTCCTCATAGAGATGTATTGACATAGGCGTGCACAGCCTATTGTATAAGGGTGTGCACCATAAAGCAGAAATACACACGCCGCGTATATATATATATATATATATATATATATATACACATATGTACACATACACATACATACACACACACACACACACTGCTGTGTGTGAGGGTGCTGTGTGTGTGTGTAGGTGCTGTGTGTGAAGGCGCTGTGTGTGTGCAGGCGCTGTGTGTGCATTAATATATAATAAAAAATATATTATAAGACTAATTTCATCTATTATAGATAAAATACATTTTGAAGCTATAATTGTCTTACTGTGCATTCTACCAAATTACATATTTTTTAGTTATTATGGAATTCCGAAAAAATATAAATATAAATAAAGAAAAATATTAAGGGACAGAAAACAATATGCAAGAGTAAAAATAAAATACTAACAATCAAACTAATTACACAGTTGTGAAAGCAACTATATCCAGAAAGAGCGTAAAGATAAAAGATAGAACATTATGCAAAGAGGAAAAGCTCTAACATTCAAACTTAAAATAATGACTGATGATGGGTTTTTCCCATACAAAGCATGAGATAAAAAAATGACATAATGACAGCCTGGTGCATTCATTTAGAGGAGTGTCGCCTGGCCATGTCTCAGAGGAATGCATGTGTTTTGTCATTAAGATGCAAATTGCGTATATACATCTAATTATAGTCCTGTCCCACAGGCTAGACTGGCTTTCTATTTACCGGTTTCAACAGAAAACGATGCTCGCATATTAACTGTAATCCCATTTACAACTCTAGCAGTGGCTGCACAGCATTCCAGTCCTAGGTGGTGAACATGCACTTACTAGCTGTAACTCACATACATGTTACAATTCTAAGTAGAAGGACATGACAAAACAATTATCCATCAATATCAAAATTTATTGGATTGAAAGTGAAGAAGAGACACAAAATTAATATTTTAAATATTTTACAGACAAATTAACAGAAAAGGGCACTGGATACAAATAGCCAGAGAAAATGCCAACAATTTATTCACTCCGTCTTCACACCCAAAGCAGCACAAACTGCTTTAGCCCAGTCATAAAAGATGAAGTTCCTGTCCTCTTGTTTTCTAATCTCATAATTTTTCATATTTCCTTGTTTCATCATTTTCTCTCCAAAATCCTCACAACAACTATAGAGGCAAACTGTCACCTTTATGGAATCTACACCATGGAAAAAAAGTATTGGGAATAATGTTTACTTGTGTTAACCCTTTTTTATCTGATGCTTCATTTTCTTTTAAATTTATACTAAAGATTTAGTAAATTATACTATAATCCAGTTCAGAATAAGGCAAGGCCTGGGCAAACATTACAGGGAAACATTGTTTAATTTCTCCTTCTCTGTGTTTTGCTGCCTGGCAGGTCCAACAGACTGAGTTTATAATAATGACTAACAGGGGGCTAAATTGCCAGTCAAATGTGTGGATTTCTCCATTTAAGTTTGTTATTTACACTTCATAAATATATATTTGTTAAATTTAGGAAAAGGCATGCATAATATTAAAAATCCTGGGAAGTGAAATAATAGAACGTGCTATTCCGTGGTGACATTTTAAATATATTGAAAAGTAAATGGCTGGATTGGTGATTTTAATATTGTATTTTTTTGTTCTTTTTCTGCATGCACATACTTTTCTAAATGTCTTGCTATGATATGCTACCATGTGTAAACTTTACTTAGCGTTTTATCAGTGAAGCAAAATTGCATCAGACGGAAGAAAAATGGAAAACGCCTTTGTTCTGTTATGTAAAACGTCCCCGAGGTTGTTTAATACGTATTGCGCGCCATGTAGTGTAACCTTAACACTTTAAAATACTTGGCAAACACTTTTGTTACTTTTTGAGCATATTTGCACATGGATTGTTCTTACACTTTCACCTCCTTAATGAAACGTCACATAGAAATAACAAGTTGAAGCCAAGATAAAAACTAGTATTGACTGACCTACCTAGTATTTTTGCAACACATTTGTGACCAATGATTAATGTTAACACGCGTGTAACTGCAGATTATCATGATAATAGCTAGGTATGTTTGCTATAGTTCCATTACCTGGAAGCAATGAATAAAATAATAAGAGAATGGGTTGTGCAACACTGTTTCATGCCTATTTGAAATTTAAAGGAGCAGATTTAGCACCGTAACCATTACAGCTCCTTGCAGTTGTTATAGTAATAACATCATGTGATTTTTTTAAATTTAATTTGTTTATTATTATTATTATATTTTAGAGCTGCCCTGTCACTTTGTATATTTCGCAAAAACACTCTGATGGTAACTGTGCGGTGATTGATGTGTGCAGGGAAATGTGAGTTTTACTTATCTGAACTTTTCCCTTGTGCCGCTGCCATCTTCTTTCATGGGATCCTCTTTAACTTCTAGTGCTTCTAGTGCTTCGTCTGCCAGGAGCTGACATCGATACTTTAATCACGCGCATAGGCAAGAGTACAACACTGGTGTCCTCTGGAAAATCCTGAAAGACCACTGAAGCTTCCATAGACCAAGCCTGTTTCCCCAGAACCTGGGGCTTGACACATGTAGCTCCACCATTTTGTCAAACTTCGTCAAGCGTAGGAAAACTCCTTACGAAATCATAGTCCTCTACTTTGTGTTATGATATCTTTTGACTGCATTGAAATATCAGTATTTCAGTATATTCAGTATGAGCATTTTAGGAAGATTATCTTTATAAAATGCTTATTTTTTAGGGGTAGGGGGTGACAGAGCCTCTTTAAAGAACAATATGTCTTGTTCAGGAATATGGGAAACAGGAAAAAAGGGGAGGGTTAAACAGCACAAAGTCATATCAAATATTTAAGTTATTGGGAGGTATGTATGAAAAGGAACTGTTTTGGAGCATTTTGACCCAAAACAGGGCTCCTCGAGGCCCCCGCTAGCCATATTGCTATTGTGGAAGAAGAAGAGATAACAAAAGGATTGTAGTTATATTAACTGCATTGGTTTTCTCCAGTATAATCAGGTAAACTGGTGTGTCTCAGTTCAGGCCACCTCAAAGTGTGCAGTGAATCCATTGACTTCAGGACTGGAATAGGCCAAACACAATCCCTAAAATGTGTTGTTTTAAATACATCTCGCTATCAAAGTTGGGATTCCCATCTGGCAATTAATTAATTAAAAATCAATTAAGCTAAAAGTATGTATGCACTTTTTATACAATATAAAAGTACTGATGAAGGTAAAAATCATTTTTGAAAAAAAGTAAATGTGCCTTGGAAGTCTTTCTCTCATTAAAATTTGCTTTGGTCAAATTAAGGTTGGAAACCAAAGATTTAATACAGTATATGCCTCTTGCTAGGAAAATGATAGAGTGGACCCTGTTGTAAATACTTATAAATGTTAACAGAGGGATAAGAAAAATACATTAAGGTCAAAATATATTTATGATATATATTTGCCCCTTGACTTACATAATGCATCGATCTAATTGCATTTCCTTTACATTACTCTCTAAATGAAAAAATACATTATTTACTGGTAAGCTACTGTGCAGGTAAAATGCTGCTAAAGATAGCACTAGTTTTCAGTTACAACAAGCCTTCATCTTAATGTTAATAGCAGCAACGACAAATAGACAATTTGGCAAGTCTTCTTAGACAAATTTTAAAGCAAACACAAGAATAATCTGTTATTTACTTAATGTTGTTAGAAAGCCTGTAATTAATCACCAGCCACCATGTTTTTTTTTGTTTTTTTTTTGTTTTAAAGCCAGTTATCTAGTTTTTCATAATTACTTTCAATGATGAAAAGGACATAATGTCAGGTGAGGAAGAGTGATGGTTTTGGTTTGATCTATTTTTTAAATCCCATATATAAGAAAGTGCAAAATACTTGGCTAAAAAAGGCAACCTGATCTTTGTGCCAGGCTATTCTAACCCCAGCTGCAGGTCTACTCTTTGTGCAATTCTACTCTTTGTTGACTTTGCCTGAGGATTCCTTGTTAATGCTAAGCCTTCCATTCAAAATCAAACCTCTTACAACACTGATCTTTATTCAACTCCTTTTATGGGTCATTGGCCGGACACAGCTGGTCATCAATACCAGCCATAATCATTTTAGTTTTAAAATATGTAACAGAGAAATAATGATCAAAAAGGACCCATTTTAAACTATGTATATTGATAATATATACTTTCATTACACGGAAAGTGTATTAAAATATGCAAAATAAACTAATAAAATTTTAAAAAAAACCTGAAGCTGCATAGCTAAGAAAAAGCTGACTGCAGCTTCAGACAGAACCTCCCCTCACCAGGAAGTGACTCCACCAATCAGGAAGCTCCTATTCTAGTCTATGGGTTATAATCTTATCCTATGAGACACGACAGGTGTTTGTGGTATAAGCAGTCACCCAGCTCCTGTTTTTCAGACTGATCTGTTCCACAATCTTACTGTTTTTTTATCTTAATTTGTACTTAATTTTAGAATTCCAACTTGTTACAGATTCTCTTAAAATACCCACTGAGACAGAAGCATTTTAGTACATAGAAATACATAAGGGATTGTTTGTTAACCACAAACTGTAATCTTGAAATATAGTCATGGCCTAATGTTTCATACAATGTGCATGTTGGATTGGCAATGGGAGACAAAGTAAAGATGAGATGTAGTAGTATTGATAACTCACTTTCAAAATGTAGCTACTTTGAAAGTGTATATGTCTAAAAAGTTGAAAATGTCTAAAAATTTAAAATGTCTAAAAGTTTCTAACTTAATTTTGTCGTTCACGTATTTGGACTAAATTGTGCAAGTCTCCAGTTTGCTGTTGCAATGAATAAACGCTTTGATGTTATACACCAAAAGTGTATTTCCTTACTTTTCTTCAACAAATGCTCTCAGTTTCAACCTTGCCTTTTGTGGAAATACAAAATATGAAGAATAGCACGTTTTGCAATCACTGGACTATTACATGATAATTGAAACATATTGTATTACACTTCCCCAGATTTCACTTTAATAGCAATTGTGAGGACATCTATATAACTGTATTAAGAATATAGCACATGAAAAGGGATCATTTAGGAAGTCTATGAAATGTATACACGCCTAGATGGTTCATAAAACATATTGCTGTTTTACCGGTTGTACAAGTTCACAGTTAGTAGAAAGGTTTTGAAATACTATTTCTGGAAGGCATTGACACATGTCCAACAGTAACCCTAACTTCTAGAAAATACACCTCCAGGGAGATTTGGATCACTGACTGCTACTGCTTTATTTGCTAAAGATTAAGAAGACAGGATAATATTGACGTATCAAAATAAATGAGTGTCTTAGAGAGCAATGATGCTCGGCAGTCTTGATGGTAACACCCTCCTTTTACCTTGTTGTTGCTGATGGCAAGAAACAGAGATTATCATGCGTAAGTACCATGCCCTAACAAGTCTTCCATAAATAGAATATATGCTAAAAGATAAAAGGGCCGTTTGCTATAATACATTCAGAGAAAACAGAAATTCTCTGTTGTATATCAGCAGGTTTCATAAAGGTTCAGAAAGGTTTATACATAAAATAGTCTAATTATAACATGAAAAATTGCTTGCACTGCAAAATATTATTCTGGTAACAGCCAGTTGAGTTAACATTTTTGGCACTTGTTTGAACCAATTTGTCAAGTAGGTTTCCAGCCAGATGAAGCAGACATACAAATCTCTTTCAAGTGCGAGAAATGTTAATGTTGAACCTGAACTAATATTCTATAATTTAACAACATTTTTTTTGTGTAACACAGGTTCAACAGCTTGAAGCAAGAATTTTAAAAGAACACTTTAGTGTTAGGAATACGAAACTGTTTCTCTCACTCCGCACCACCCCACTTCCACTCCCCCCTATTTGTTGTTGAAAAAGTTAAAAACTTTTTTAACACTTATCTTGATTCCAGCACTGAGGTACATGGGTATTGAATCAATACTTTCCTATGGAGATTTTGGAGACGCTAGATGTCCGAATGCAAAGCGTGAGGACATCTAACGTTGTTTCGCTGAGTTAATGCAAGAAGCACATCTAGTGGTTGTTAAGGGGACAGGGGCATTGCATCCTGACCACTTCAATTAGATAAAGTGCCCTGGGTGCCTGTAGTGTCAATTTAACATGAAAAATATTTTTTAATGAATTTTAGAGAAATAGATAAATAAGTAAATCCTTTGGGATTTACAAACCCTGTAATGAACTAATGCCACACAATACCAAACATGGCATAACCATGAAGAAGAAGGCACATTGTCCATAAAGGGCATAGAGGTAGGATTTTCTGACATTTACCACAGATATATGCTGACTCATATCAGTGGACTTACTCAATGTTGGAATTTCCATGACATGTGATACCCTGTCTTATACATTGTACAGTAAACTCATGGACAGAAACACACTTTTGTATCCTCACAGTTTTTATCTGAAGCCACCCAAGTACTTGCTACTATATTTGCTACAACACAACACAGAACAACTCAGTTTATAGGGATACTACAGGCTTTAAAACAACTTTAGCTTTAAAAAGCCATTTTGGTGTATAGATCATGTCTCTGTGCCACACACTCCACACACATTACATTTTCCTGATAAATCCCAACGTTCCATCCATTAGAGAATGGATTCAGAAGGTAGTCACACTTAAAATCATGAAGGAAATAAAGGCCTATATCTCTCACAGATATACCCTATACAGTGATATATGGGAGCCATGGGTAAAGTTTATGCAAGAACTAACCCATATTACGATTGACCCATGTTGACCATAAGTCAGGTTTCTTGAGTCACGCGAACAAGGGGATGTACTAGGCCTTCCCTAAATTCCCTTCCTCCTTACTCTGGGTTCCCCTCTCGACTATCACTTAGCAGACACAGTACAAGTCGATGGAGTTCGGCTGGATAGCGCTGACTCTGTTTTGAATGCTACAGTATTCTCACCATACTACATACAGTCTACCTGGCCAAGATACTCTGGATCGTTAAGCCATGAGATAATACTTTATGTTTTGATATAACGCCGACATGGGCAGCCTAGAAGCGGATCCAGCCATTTGCGGGTCACCACAGTGTCATACACTTCATGCTACCCCCTTATTATAAAGCAAGTGCAGAAAGGCATACTTAGATACACAGGACATGTGTTTTACCTCTCTGCTGGTGCTCTGTACATATTGATCTACCCAGTTGACTTAGGTACCTATTTGAATCGATATACTATTCAAATGTGCAGTACCTACCTGATGCTCACACCCGTACTATGGTTTGCTCCGTATTGACTCACTGTCTATTGTTTCGCTACATTTCACTATGTATCAACTCTGTAACCTTCCATGACCTGTGTAACAATTGCCAGATTTTTTTTTGATATGTATTACTGACTCAGTGTTATGCCTTTCTATTTTCAAAATATATATATAAAAAAAAAAAAAAAGAATTGGCACACGTTAGCAAACAACTTCATTTTGTTGTGCTATAAGGCAGGCAAAACCCTTAATGACTTGTTGGTGTGTGCCAACTCTGTACATTTTTACAATCAAAAAAGCTAAAACCAGAACATAGGATGTGTTTGCTGCCTGGGCTGTAAGTTCTGTAAGCATGGTACCAAAGAAGTGCTCCAACTACCCCACAATGGCAAAAAAATATTAAATAAAACATTGAGTAACATGCATAATAGATTTTGACATTTATAAACTTACTTGCCCATGTGGCTTGGCATATCTGAGTAAAACAGACTCAGATATGCCAAGGGTCTGCCAACACATGTAATTTATCAGGCTAGCCTACGAGAATGGGCAGTCTGATCAACCTGTCTCCAAGCATTTCTTTGAAAAATGTTATCAAATCCTTGCTTTAAAATTTACAGCAGTTGACCACGTTCCCCCCTTTAAAGGGGAAGTGAATGTGGAAAAAACTGTTGCAGCAACTTTTTGGTTTAAGTTATTGAACATCTCGTCCTGGACTTTTTCATCTTTTCCTTAAAGGGACACTTCAGACCCCTTAGGCACGTTAGCTTGCTGAAAAGCTTTCTAAGTGAAGAGTGTGTCCTTTTTAAAAAATCAAGCAGACAACCGATCCTGTTATTTCCTGGTTTTGTTAGCAAATGCATCTGAACTCAAGAGGCAGCAATTACTCAGAGCACCTGCCTTGCAAAGACTTCTCATTGAGCTGCATTGGGAGGTCTGTGATTGGACAACCACAGCAATATTGGAATGGTTGAAAGGGGAGGGTTTGCAAGGCTGCAGACAAGAGATCTGCAGGTTTTGCATGCTGTTTTTATATATATACCAGCAATGGAAAATTGCTTATATTAAATGCATGCAATTTTTAACTTATATATAATAAACAGTGATTTGTATTTATTTTGTGTTTGGGCAGTAGAATGTCCCTTTAAATATAATTGCCACTAATGGATTACTAAAACATTGCTATGCATGTGTTTTCAACAATAACAAAATGCTTTAAACTGTTTTAAATAGTTTATTCTGTGCCAATGTCTTAATACTGGCGCCTATTGAAATAATGTAGCAACACCACCTTGTGGTTTATCTGTATTCAACATCTTTTACCAACCTCTCTATCCAACACTATACTTTTTGCATAATATTCATATACTTAATATATGCTCTTATGTCTTTATCAGTCTGTATTTACTCTGTTAACCTGGCCCTCTGGGTTTTTGTTCCATTCTGGGGTTTTCCTGCAACTACAGGAAAATATTTTTTTTTAAAATGGATGTATTTTCAGACCGACTCCTGAAAAGATGTTCAGGCTTGCACCAAGCTACATGATTAGCAGTATCATACAGCCTGTCCTGGATGTTGTTGTTTTTTTGTTTGTTTATTTGTTTACCAATTCAGTGTTTATCTTTTTTTTCACAGCACTCTTTTTATTAGCTGGAGGATCAACAGTCCTTGTGCCCTAGTGTGAAGGTCTCAGCCCATTTCCTTGTTTCACTATCTGCATTGTATTTAGCTCTATACATCATAGTTATAGTTGAAGTCTAATGGTAAGTTGCCCGATATTTTCTCAGTACTTTATACAGCACAAGTGTGACCTACAATATATCATTGATTGTCTAACCCCAGTTGTCCCACAGCTATAGAGATAGTTCTTTTAATGGAACACAAACATGTATTCCTGACCCTATAGTGTTAATATGTGAATATGTCAACTCTTATCATGTTATTGAGTTCTATTAATTTTGCGTCCATAGGTGGGATGTTCTTTTTCTTCACTTTGTGCTGGGTTTTTACATATACAATGTTTTTATTCTGAGATCGTCTGGTTTCTATTATAAATACCTTTGGACCATGCTACTGGGAAGGCTTCCTGGGGGTGCACCTGGGTACACACGCAGGACATGCTACATTTTAGACGTGCACAGGCTACCAGGAAGAGCTTAAGTATAAACAAGAGTTTATGGTTCTTGTAAAATTGTCACGATGAAGGTTTATTGATTCAAAGTGAAACTCTGACCAATTAAGAAAAACACGTTAACTGCACTAAGGAGTCCTTGGAGTGCCATTCTTTCTTGGATTGTATACTTTTGGAGGATAGAGCACGAGGCACTTAATATTCACAAACCATCCTCAAGTCCAAGATTAACTAGTTGTATACATTTGGGACTTTGGCAAAAGCCCATTCATTGCAAGATAACTGCTTTAATAGAGATTTACAGGACTTGGTCCTTAGCTTTTATCTCTAGAGGATTTTTAACAAAGGCTCTTGCTAAACAAGCATAGACGGATGCTGAGAAAAACCATTGGATTACCACTAGCACAGAATGACCAGAGAATACTTCTTTAAAAGATATTTACCTGAAAAGACTTTGTAAACATGAGATTGACTTGGATTTATATATATGTCTTTCTGATTACAATTGCAATTTACACATTCCTGGAGGTTTCAGAATTAGAAATATAATTATTATTGTCCATTTAAAACCATGTTTGCCACAAATGGATAGCTATCCTTAATAAATGTTTACTGGATAAAATCTGATTTTAAAGGGTTTTTAAAAAGCAGTAATTTTGTCTACCACTGAACTCATACTTACTACCCTCCTGAGATTAAAGGAATAAGTACAAAACAGACTTTATTATATTTAAACATGAAAAGCAGGAAAAGGTTAAATAAGAATGCAAGGAAAAATACAAAGTTTTTACTAATATTCCTATAAGAGACGTAGGTGGTCCACCACAAGACCGAGGGGTTCTAGCCCTCCTTGAGAGCTGAAAGAGTATACAAAAGTACTAGGAACACAGAATATGCAGATTATACAGATGGCTCAGTGTGGAACAAAGCAAACTGTGAGTTCCTAGTTGTCTCAGGTGAACCCAAAAACTATATTATTACGCAATGTATGTGGCAACAGGCGAATTGGCTTTAGTCTCAGAGACAGCATCGCAAACAGCAGGAAGTTATCCAATAGAACCAGAAGTTATTTTTGGACTGGAAGCAACAGTCAGGTAAAAAGGAGAAGGCATGTCATGGAAGGTCAGGAAGGCAGGACGTTCTGAGGCAAGAGGGCATCCACCTGATGAACCACCTCAAAAAAAGTTCTAAGTTATCAAGACCTTCAGTTGCCAAACAGCACTTTGCACAGCCTTGTAGTAGCCGCTGTACGACAATGTACTTAACCCATTCTAAGCCAGCAGATTCAAGAAATCACACAGTAGCACTTGAGGCTGTGCTCCAAGACCAGTTTACAGAGGTAGAAAAGTGGATCGCAAAAAACAAACTCTTCCTAAACACTGACAGAACTGTCACAATGATCTTTGGAACAGTACCTAAATTACACAAATTACATAATACCCACCTATCCATCAAAACAAATTCAAATGGCACACTAACCGCAGTCCACTCTTTCAAATACTTGGGTATGTTGGTAGACCCCAATCTATCTTTTGGAATCCACATAGAAAAACTTGCATCTAAACTTTATCCAAAACTATGTGCCCTGTACAGAAACAAATCCTGCCTAAGCCCTACAGTAATGGAAAATATTGTACAGCAAATGCTGATGCCAATCATTGATTATGGGGATGTAGTATATGCATCTGCACCGCAATCCCACATTAATAAACGCAATAAAATGCACCCTTCATCTTTCCATCCTTGTGTTTAAGAGCTTTTCTGGGAAACTCCCACCCTACTTGAGCAAAATGCTCTCCTCAGCTTTTCCCATCTCCTATAACCTCCGATCCAGTACCAGCACTTTATTTAGCCTACATCAATACAAAAAGAAAGCGGCCCGATCCTCCTTCTCAGAGCACCGCAATTGTGGAACGACCTCTCGCACACTTTAAAATCTTCCCCAAGCCTAATGTCCTTTAAGAGATCCCTCTCTACATACCTCAAAACAGAATGCACATGTCATGGGTGATTATATATTTCCTACCTGTTCTATGGTAAATTTTGTATAGTGTGTATAAATATTGTTTTTGTATTTTGTATTTGTATTGTATTTGTATTTTATTGTACCCTAATGTAACAATGCAATGTTTTGTGGACCCAGGACATCCTTGAAAATGAGAGAAATCTCAATGTATCTTTCCTGGTAAAATATTTTAGAAATAAAATAAAATAAAATATGCACACCTGCACATACCCCATACATTTATACCCCATATGTTTCCCTTAAAAGGAATACTCAAAGTATCCTAGCTACTACAGCCAGCTGTAGTATTTACTATTTACAGTGCCATGTGTGCCCTGGCATTTTAGAATGGTTTGACAACTCACATGGGTCCTGCTGGGACGGAGATAAGCAGGGCTGCGCTCATTGGCTGAGATCACCATCTGGGAGTGGGAAGTAGTGGATTTGGTGCTCGGAATGTTCCTTTAAGTATGACTAATACTTTAGAATGACAATGCTTTCGTGACACTTTGAATTTGCTATGCTCCCAAATCTACATAAGATTAAGGTTATCTATTACTCTCACCAACAATATCTTGCAAGGAAAATGTATCTCGTAAAAGGGTATTACTTACAGTTTGAAACGTTCACAGGAGGGAATTTGGGACGAGTGATTGCTAGTATAATGAATATGACCACAGGCCATACGATGAGTACAACAGACCACACCTGAAATAGAATAAAATGAAACATAAAATTTAAGATTTCATTACAAGGAGTGCTGTTAAAATACATTATCAATATCAATTGTAAATATCACAAGTTCCATACATAACACAATATACACCACCTTTGTATATGTACTTGGCTTTAAACATGAGAACTTTTATTGACTGTGTAAGCAGTGTGTTTTGCGCACTGTCTCATGAAATCTAGCTTTAATTTCAATAAGTTATCTTCATGATACAGCAATAATATTATTATCTTGCTATGTGGCTTGATGTTTTTCTTACAGAGGTTTTACTATTTAATGTTAGTGTTCTCATTTTATTATCTCCCTCCCATTATGCTCCTCATTAGAATGCTTCTTCCCTTATCAGAAATTTTTGATTTTTATTTTCTGTTGATTTTCTGTTTTGCATTCTGATTTATTATAGAACCAATTTGGGTCCCTGAAGAAGTCCAGTATTGGATGAAACATGTAAGACCAATTTAATTTTTTTTATTTGACATGTTTTTATAAATACATTTCATTTGTCAATAAACCAGTATTTTGCACACCATTCTGAGTCATGGTAATCATCCTGGAAGAGGTGTTTATGATCCAGAGCCGAAGGATCACTAGATGACGCCCTCAGAAATCAAAGGGGAGGCATCCAGAGGTGAGAGTGCCATAATTTATTTTGTGAGTATATCCCTATCTGAGCAGTGTACCATCTGGTTCTAATGTACACTATGATATTGCTTCTTGATTTTTAGATTAACAGCTGTATTCCCAAACATGTTTTCTATACTCATGCTCTTCACTATGCCTAGTCTGAGCTGGCATGACTGAGACCAATGAGAAAATTACCATTAATATTTTACTAGGGTAGCAACATTCTTATGAAACAGCCTTTCAATTCCCACTAGACTCTAACCCAGCCTCCACTAAAAATGTTTTTTTTTTTTTAAATATCATTAAATGTGGGTGGGTATAGATGATTTTTCATGTCATAGATTGTCCCACTTTCTCTGGTAATATAAACTGATCACTAATTCACTTCACATTTTCATAATTACTTCACAAACAAACTCTATACAGATAGAAATCCCTACAAAGCATATTCAATACCCCAATTAACTATCCAAAAGCAATACTACTATAGACTTTGCAAATACTCATTCCTGGTCATGAGATAAGACACTGCCATACAGCAGGAAAACATTTGATTAACCACCGATTTGGAAAAGGGTCTATTATGACCTCCTCCCAACTAAGTTCCAAGTACTCTGTTTCCAATAAATATTTTTGAAGTTTCTCTAAATTCAGCATTGGATGCACTTCATGCCTCGAATGACAGGAACTAAAGTGGCCCCACTCACATCTTTAGACATGTTAATTTAAAAAAAAAACACAAAAAACTACCTACTGGCAAAGTATTCACTTCTATTTATTACATTATGATTCAAGAATCTGTTTACAACTTCCCGCTTTCATATACATTGGCTTGGGAGAAAATTTTGGAAAGTTTACAGACACTGAATGGAACTCTATTGTATTTCGCAATATCAATCTATGGAGAACCTTATCCAATACGTATATTTGGTTGTAGAGGTACATTTGCCCTGTACTCCAGAGGTGGCTTTATTAAGCTTATATCCCGATTTGATTGCCAAAACACAAAGCAAATTTGATTTTGCTCATTATTTTTTTGTTTTGAATATTAATTTTATTGAAATAAAGAGAGTTTAACATAGTAGATAATACAGTATACGAGTCATAACGGGCTAATAAAAGAGGCACAATATGAAGCATGAACAAGATACATTTAGAGATAACTTAGTATATGTTTACTACAAAATATAAGGCTATAGGACCAATAACTGTGATATCACTTTCCTTGATTCTCTTTGGGAGGGTTGTTTTTATTTAATTTTTTTAATTTATGGATTTCTCACTTTTTTCTTTTTTTTTTTAAAGGAAAAGGCATATATTTAAAAAAACAAAACAATTTAGTACATAAACCCCCAAAGAAAGCATGCATCTATTTATTTCTACAGTTTTTCTTTGGGGTATATTGAAAGACAATTTTCAAAAGCTGCAGATGTTTGCAAGACCTTTCCTTTTTCCAACACGGACTTTCATTCTGTGCTGGGGAATATTTCAATCCCAAGAAGCCATGAGTGGGTGCTCACTCATGCATGCTTGCGGATTTCCAATGCTTCTCAATAAGTTGTATTGCGGGGGAAGGCAGAAACGTGCTAGCACAATGAACCAGTTGCTTCCTTTAGCTCTGTGTAGCTAAACAGGCGAAGAATAAAACATGCTGTGTGATGGACAGCCAGTTAGGTGATTCAGGCCCCCAAATATAAAAGTGAAATCGTCACTTTTCTAAACTGTCATAGATGTGACAGGTTCCAAACACATGAAACACTTCAGCAAGCTTTATTTGTTTGGAGTGTCCCTTTAACCTTAAAACTCTATATTGCCTATAGCTAGAAAAGTGCCAAAGTCCTAACTTTATCAATATTAAAAACGCATTACTTTAAAATAAACAAATAGCACTATCTGCCTATCTGTTTAAATAAATATATGGCAGCTAGTACTAAATATGGATACTTAATAGTCACATGCTAGATATATCAGGTTCTTTAGATTTTCCAATTTGTAAGGAAGTGAGAAGGTTGCTAGCCATATACTAGAACACTGGAGAGAGGTGTGATAGGTGGCCCTTTTAAACTGTAATATTGATTTACTTTGTATATATGGTATCCAGGACACTGTACAGGGTAATTCACAAACATGAGAGTTTCTGGGAATTCAAAGTGAATGCAAAATGAATATAAGACAGCAAGGCATTAGAGACACGCAGGAAATGTGTGAGGCAACGCATAAATATATTACTAGTAGAGAGACCGTACAAAGACAAAGTGCGTGCTTCACATATGAATACCCAGAATTCCCCCGGCAGAGATTGAACTATGAGGTTGTTGTGTGGGCAAGAAAAAGCCTCAAGACCCATGTTAACTGTCTGGGCATTTTGTCTCCTATCAGTGGCCTCTGCAAAGAGGGAGAGGTGAGCGAGAGGAACAAGGGGGAGGAAAGAAATATGGTTTGAAAAAATAGGCATAAAGAGGAAAAGAGAAGAGAAGGAGAATAATAATTTAAAAAAAAAGCACTAATTTGTCTATTTTTTTTACGTTTGATACTCGGCAGAGCTACCACCATCAAGAAGTGTCAAGCCCCCAGCAATTAGATAAGCCTCTCTGGTGGGGACCAGAATAAGTCCCACTAATCCAAAGGAGGTGGAAAGGGGCCCAAAAATAATAAATTTCAGAGACATTGGCAGCTCCAGGCCAGGAGGTCCATGCCAGGGACTAATGAGTGGTTGCCCATATCGATCCTCACAGCGAGCCAGGTCTGGTAAGTTGTTATTTGATTTAAAAATAAAGCTAAAAAACTGCAACGTAGCTCAAATAATGGATAGTAAGTGAGGAGCTCTTCCTAAACACGTCTATCCGACATGGCAATCACGGATTAAGTTTTAATCCTGGTTTTTAATATATATATATATATATATAAATATAAATATATATATATATATATATATATATTTTTTTTTTTAAATCATTTTCACTTTGTATTTAATGTACTTTTACCTTTATCTTTATTGCAGCATAGTGGAATATGCTGGCACCTATCAAAATAATAAAACATAATATTAAAAAATACAGAGTTACAAAATAGGTGTTATATGGTAAAATTCCAGAACTCATTCACAAAGGTGAGTCAGTTGCAAAGTTCTGTTCAATCCATTTCAAACTAAACACAGTCATAAACCACTATTACAACAGAGTTGGGTTTAGTTGTCAGCCAGGCATTATAATTGTTTGTATAGCCATCTTCATTGTATTTCATTATTATCTAAAATAATACATGCATTTGAGCCTCAGTGTGTATTATTTTGTACACGTATAAGAAAATAGAAATATTTACCCCGTCTCCTGGCTTACCCTCAATAGGGTACTATATCACTGGACTATCTCACCAAAACCAGTGCATATAATCACAGCAGGTGTGCATTCACAAATTCTGGTGCATTAACATTCCAGTGATGTCAAAATGTTTACATAGATCCAGATATTCAAATTGTGCCTGGTCTTGGCAAATGCGATCACTGAAAAGGTATTTATATGAATATATTACCAAATAATGCAGAAGTATATATCACATATATTCATGTATTTTCAATCATTATAAAAATGGAAGGCAAAAAAACAGAGTGCAATAGAATAATGAGAACGGACAAAAGCACAAGGAGCTTGCCCTTTGTTTGGTCCCTGCTCCGACATCAAGCTAATTTTAGCTCATTTTGGGCCATTACAAAGAGACCCTTGGCTGTTTGCATATCAGACTGCTTCCACCCAAAAGAGTGGTCCAGACCTGAAATGCAGGTAGGCTCTGTCTGCATGAGAGATATAGCAACCCCAGACAATTGTTTTGGTCTTGTTAGACATCATCTGTGAGTTATAGCCGATACTCCTCTAGGCAACTTGAGCAAGGGGTCCATGTCTGGATTACTCTTAAAACTTGAAGAGAGGGAAAAGAATATAGGGATGACAATTTTCCTTAAAAATTATACTCTACCACTCAAATAAAAAATAACAATCACTGCATAATAGATATACCACAAATGAAAACATCTATGCATTGAATTATGCATTTTTTCATTGGTGTATATGTACAAATAGCTTGCAAAAGCTGCAGATCTCATGCCTGAAGCATTTGCAAGCCCTCCCCTTCTTCCCCAGCCCAGACTTTCTGTGGCTGTATAATTGCAGGCTTCTTGCAAGACAGGATCTCTAAACAATTGTTTGCCTCTTGAGTTTTGCTAAACCGAGCTAAAAAAATCAGGAAGTAACAGGACCTGTTCTCTTCTTGAAAACCATCTAAAAAGGATAATTTATAAAAGTGTCAGTTTTTATTAAAATATGCAGTTTTTGTAAAATGAAAGAAACAAGCAGGGCACACTCTTCACATCTAAAGCATTCCAGAAAGCCAAAGTGTTTAAGGTGTCGCTTTAACAATCACTCCACATCGCGAGTTTTCAAGGTCTGTTCAACACGGCTTAACATCAAGTCAGCTTGCCATAAAATATTATTAGTGAATAAGATTATGTTTGGGCTCAGCGTTCAATAATTGGTCAACTTTTTATTTTAAATACTTTTATTTCAAAAGTCAGACTTGCTTTACTATGTACAATTGCTAGAATAATGCGTTCTCTGTTATAAAGTATGAATGAGTGTGCATTCTAAGGAGGTTTTTTTTTCGTTTTCAGTCTTATTCTTTTATGGCTGCTGCTTTGCCTGGTGAAAACAATGTTTCTTGTATTACAGTAAAATACTTTATCAAAATATTTGTCTTTCCTCTATCGTGAGACCTTGTTAAATGTGATAACAATTAAACGTCAATAGGGATCTTTGAGAAGCAGAGGCATATGCAAGTTTATGGTCGTTTTTTTTCTTTTTTCTTAACCTTTTTTTATTTTATTTTTTTGACAACCCTGTTGTGGACTTCATTACCTATGATTCTCAGTTAACCATATAACATACAAGTTTTTCACTAAACAAAGAATTTCAGTAAATGCATATGGCAAAACTTAGGCTAAAATAGCTGTTTTGGAAAATCCAGCTCAGCTACTGTTACAGCTCAGTTATTCAGGATTAGTTCACCACATTATGATGCTTAGTGACTTACCATAATACTGAGCTGCAACGCATAGTTAGAATGTGCTTCCATGCATGATTTGGGAGATAATTGTGCCGTCTGTTCAACCGTAATTCACCTCTTTTATATTAAGTGCACCCACACTTATTATATATCATTTTATTCAGGAGAAATTGGGCTTTCATTTAACATCAAATATTTAGCTATAAAACATAATTTAATATGAATAAAATATAAAAAATGGGAGAAATTAAGAAATTTTATTGTGAATGTCATAATACGATTTGCTTTTACTGCAATAAAGTACACTTATGTGTCTCACATGTAAAACAGTACCCCCTATGTACAGGTTTTATGGTGTTTTGGAAAGTTATAGGGTCAAATATAGCATGTTACATTTTTCAGTTTTTTCACATTGAAATTTGCCAAATTGGTTACATTGCCTTTGAGACCGCATGGTAGCCCAGGATTAAAAATAACCTCCATGATGACATACCATTTGCACACAAACAAATATTAACACTAACTTTGACCAGTGGCTACTAAAAAGACTGGACATTTCCCATTTGCAATACCTTGGGTTATCTACTTTTGCAAATGGTATGCCACCTGGGCTACCATACGGTCTCAAAACAACATAACCAGTCTGGCGAGTTTCAATGTGAAAAAACTGAAACACAAGCCTTATATTTGACTCTGTAACTTCTGAAAACACCATAAAATCTGTACATGAGGGGTACTGTTATACTCTGGAGACTTCGCAGAACACAAATATTAGTGTTTCAAAACCGTAAAACGTATCACAACAATTATATCGTCAGTGTAAGTGCCGTTTGTGTGTGAAAAATGCAAAAAACTTAATTTTCACTGACGATATCAACGTTGTAATACATGTTTTGAAACACTAATATTTGTGTTCAGTGAAGTCTCCCGAGTAAAACAATACCCTCCATGTACAGGTTTTATGGTGAAAGTTACAGGGTTAAATATAGTGCTAGCAAATTGAATTCTATGGACTTTCGGCCTGGGTTGTCAGGCAGGTCCCACAAATTGTAATTAATAAAATGACCTAATTATGTAAAAATATTACATGAATATATAGGTAGAATATATATATATATATATATATTTCCAGGTCCCAGCACTCGATGTTCCCGGTCTTTTTGTGCTCCAGTGCACAATCTCCAATCAAAATATATATACCTAGTAGAGAGCACTCTGGAGTCTTGATAAAGTAAATTCAAACTGCTGCTTTATTAAGCAAACACAGTGCTAAACACAACAGTCAATGTTTCAGCCTATGCAGACTCTTTTCAAGACTGTCTTGTCATAGACTGAAACGTTGACTATTGTTTTTATCACTGTGTTTGCTTAATAAAGCAGCAGTTTGAATTTACTTTATCAAGACTCCAGAGTGCTCTCTACTATATATATTTTCATTCATATAGTAATGTATACATATATATTTATCATTCTATGTGTATTTTGATATTAATATATATATATATATATATATATATAATATTAAAATACACTTAGACATGTATGTGTATGTGTGTGTGTATATATATATATATATATATATGATCTAAGTATATATTATTTAATTTTAAACTTTATTTAACTTTATTACAGGCACCAGGGTGGCTACCTGTCATTCCAGGCACTCCCCCTGCTGGCACTGCTATAGACGGCTATTCTGTCCATGTGATCGTGTGTCATCTCTGAAACAGGGCTTTGTATGGATCCTACTAAGCTAGAGGCCATATGTTCATGCCCACTTCCTCAGGGACTGAAAACTATTCAATGCTTTATAGAGTTTTATAATTATTATAGAAATTCATCAATAACTTTTCTACAATAATCGCCCCTATAACACAAATGATAAAAAGGGCACCAACACTCACAATTGGACTCGTATATCGTTGGAAACTTTTGAAGAATGAAACACTTTTTTTCCATAGCTCCCATTTTAGTTCACCCTGACATATCATTACCCTTTATCATAGAAGTTGATGCCTCACAATCTGGTGTGGTGGGTGCAGTTTTATCTTAAATAAAGAAACTTTAAGACTCTTACACCCATGTTGCATTTACTCCAAAACATTGTCAAATTCCAAAAGAAACAAGGAGCTGCTATATATATATATATATATATATATATATATATATATATATATATATATATATATATGAAATTCTTGGCTGTTGTACTAAGTTTCCTAACCCTGTCTGAAATATTCTATGACAAGCAATACTGCACCTTGTCTTAAACCTTATTCTCAAAACAGATGTTCAATGATTAATGCACAAATAAAATTATCTGTAAAACTATTTATTTAGTTTTTGTGTTCTTGAATAATGATCTATACATGAAATAGTAATTGCTAATTTAAATTTACAGAGCAGGAGATAAAAACTTCTAAAGCAAATGAACATCTAATTGAAAATTAATCAAAGAAGTAAAAAAACAGAAACAAAAGTGATTAAACTCTTGAATTGAAGAGACATTAAGCTAAAGTTGTTTTGGTGACTATGTCGTCCTTTTAAAGTTGATATTTACTTTGAATTCTCAATTTAGTGAATAAGTCTACTAAATAGAATCCTGCATTTTCATTGATGTCAGTGATAGGTTAGTGAGTAGGTAGATTTGCATGAAGTGATGACGTTTCAACATTAATTACTTAGAATGGTGTCGTGCATGATGCAGACCAGTGAGTTTGTTTTTATGTCTGATTGTTTATTAGGGTGGCCACATTTACTATAAAAATACATCAGATTTTTTCCATTTCAGCTATTTTGAACTTTAGCGAATAAAAATTGAAAAGATTAAAATTTCCTCAGATAAATATTGCAATTATAAAATTAAATTTTGGATGTAATATCTATATTTATTAACATTACTTTTTTGTTTTGTGTTATTAATTCTGGACAGTGGCTAATTTGCCCTAATTATTTTGATAAATCAATGCAGAGGCAAAGAGAAAAATACTACTTCCTTAAAGGGGCATTATAGGGACCCAGACCACTTCAGCTTATTGTGTCCCTTCTCTTTTCCATCAGAGGTGGAGGAGGGCTGGCCCAGCGCTGTTAGTCTGAGCTTGAATTAGGTAAGTGACTAAAAAAGGGCTCGAGAAAATGCCTGGGATTTGTGAGCCAGTCAGCTGAGGTGATGATGGAGCATGCAGGCGCCGGGTGAAAACCGGCAAATGGAGAGCGGTGTCTGAGAGTGTGTGTGTATGTCTGGGAGTGTGTGTGTATGTCTGGGAGTGTGTGTGTCTGTCTGGGAATGTGCATGTCTGCTTAGCTGACTTGTCTTCCGATCGCACGGGAAAGGTGATTTTACTCACCTTTTTTCCCACGCCGTTCCGGTCTAGCCATGGCTGGCCCCACCTCAATGGCTGAGATAATCAATCTTGATGATCTCAGCCAAACCAAACATATCAAAGCATTGTGAGGCTGTCGCACATGGGCTATTCAGCATCTCCTTATAGAGGTGCACTAAATCAAGGGGAACATTCAGCATCTCCATGCAGAGCGTGGAGATGCTGAAAGTCATTGCTACACACTGTGCAGCACTGGACTAGGAATCACCTCTAGTGGCCATCTGAGTGATGGTCACTAGAGGTGTTACTTGGCAGCAATGTAAATACAGTGTTTACATTAAAAAGCCTGCAAGGAAAGGCTATAGACCAGGTCTGCACAACCTGCATCCCCCTTGATGTTTTGAACTACAACTCTCATGATCCCTTTTCTATCTGTTTCATGAAAAAAACATGAGCATAGGCTGTTTCATTAAAAAAAAAAAAAGCTGTGGAACACAGGTTGTGCAGGCCTGCTATAGACACAAGAACCACTGCATTAAGTTGTAGTGGTTCTGTGACTATAGTGTCCCTTTAAGAATTGTATTTTTGTCTCTGAAAATAAAGCTTTTTGTTACAAAAAACCTGGCTCCTAACTTTTTTTGGCTGCCTCCTTGATTCCAAGAAAATCTGTTCAGGGCCTGCACTAAAGGGTTTTTTTTCCTAACACTACAGAATCCATTTAAAATAATTAAATAAGTAAATGTAACAGCATTTTATAATATATACTATATAGGCTAAATTAATAGTAAAATAATCTATTCCTTCACTAGTGTCTGCACTATATACATAATTTTGATTTGAAAGACCTCTGCTATATTTTGTATTACATGTGTATTTGATTTCTGAGTCTTATATGGGAGTAGCTGACTGATATATTGTAGCAGCATTCAAGAATGTTACTATAGTGAGGATTTACTGATTTTGTATTGTCTAATATATATCCATGAAATCAGGGTGAATTTCCGATTTAAAGTGATACTATAATCACAAGAACAACTACAGCTTAATGTAGTTGTTCTGGTGTCTACAGACTGTCCCTGCAGGCTTTTTAATGTGAACATACATTACTGCCTAGGAACACCTCTAATGGCAGCAACTCAGTCACAAGACTTGCTTCCTTGACATGAATGTGCAATAAACTCAGCCAAGTTTGATGATCTCAGCCAAACAGGCATTGCTGGATAGGGTCAGCCACGACGAGACTCTCGTGGTGCTGAAAAAAAAGTGAGTAAAATTCCTTTTTTCAGTCATCTGACAGGAGGGTTTGGGGCCTAAATAGCTCTAGAGCTATAGTGTTTGTATTCCTAACACTCTATAGTGTTCCTTTATGGACAATTTAGTCACACTGTAAATAGAACTGATTTGGAGAATATTTCTAATATTGCTATTTTGGCCTAAATATTTGAATTACCTGGAATTCTTACTGTAGCAAACAACCCTGTGTGCACTAGAGATCACAATTTTCTGTTTTATCTCTTTATGTTTAATTTACTCTGTTTGCATTTAATAAATATAAAGTATCAGACAGAGATGGTGAAGCGATGGTATAGTTGCACACACTGGTTTTCCGAAGCTTCTGAAGTGGCACCTAGTGTATGCCTACAGAACAGAGGTAGTAATGAATACTGCAGGCTTAAATATATATTAAATACATATATGTATATTACATATTACATATATATTGCGTATATTGCATGTTGGCATGGACAAATAAAGCCAGCACTCCCATTTGGGCAATAAAAGGAACTTGTGACACAGGTCTTACTTTCACTACTGAAGAAACAAGAAATCACAAAACTATGGAGAAGTCTATGTGAAAAGGGGAGGATTATTAGGAAGATAACACAGAGAATGTGACTGAGGTATATGATTTTCACATGGAAAGAGTGAGTACATATTGGATTAGTGGAATGAGTGGGAGAGCTAATGATAATATGGAGAGTAAAGTGCAACTGAGGGGACTAAACTTACAGGGGAAGCAACATTTCTGGGGGAAATAATTGACTTGAGGACAGGAAAGACACATCACCATGCCAGTGGAAGGAGACTGGCATTAAGAGTGTGGGAGAAGAGACTCACATGGAGAATGGTGGAAGGGACATTAAAAGTGAGAGAAGAAAATTGGCATGGGGTAAGAGAAGCAGAATGATATGATGGGTTGGAGAAAGGGACTGTCACTGACAGTAGGAGATCAAGGTATAGAGAGGCTCAGAGAATAGAACTGATATGGCGAATAAGAGAATGATAGGTTGGAGAATGGGTATGTAATAGAGGGTGAGAGAAGAAAGTTGAAACAAAGAGGGAGATAGAACTGCAATTTATGAGAGAACCTGGTATGAATCAGATATTGAATGAGATATAGAGAACAAGAGATAATACAAAGGACGGCAGGAGAAACGGAAACGAGCAAGGTAAACACATATGGATGTTAGAGAAAAGAGGTTTTTATGATTGATGAATTGGGCATTAGAAGGAGGAACACAAATGTAGAGATTAAAAAATAAAGAGGAAAAAAAGTATATTCTGGGCAGTTTACAGATCTGTTTATTAGTCTTCTGCATGGCTCAAAATGTCCACCATATTTTATATGAGCTATGTAGAGAAAGCATAATTTAGTAAAAATCCATCATGGCTGAAATTATGTTTGCCGAGCTAATTTATCTAAACTAAAAATAGTTTTTAAAGGATCACTATAGGGTAAGGAACACAAACATGTACAAAAAAGAGAGCAAGGAACACAACGTTCCAAGTCCCTGTATAGCCGCCGCACCCACCACCTCAAAACCTCCCCGAAAGGGGGGCAGTGGCTGCAGGGGTCACGCAGAGACCAACGTACCAGTATGAGACTCCAGCTGTCTCAGAGGGGCTTAACCCCAAATATAAACACAAGAACAAAGAAATATGCAGACCGTCTCAATTATATGAATGAAACTTACTGCATTGACTGGAAAAAATATATCTATGTATAGCGCGATGTTCCAAATATAGAACCTGGCTATTAGAAATAATATGGTCAAGTATTATATGGTCAAACATGTACTCCTGACCCTATAGTGTTAAAACCACTATCTAGCCCCCCTGGGCTCCTCATGCCTCTATAAATATAGTACAAATCTTACTGTATTCAAGCTTGAAGCTGTAACTCTGCATGCTGTTAGACTCAGGAAAACAAGCAGTGTGCTGACATCATCAGAAGTGGTGGCCTGATCCAATCACAATGCTTCCCCATAGGATTGGCTGAGACTGACAAAGAGGCAGATCGGTGCAGAGCCAGCATGATTCAAACACAGCCCTGGCCAATAAGCATCTCCTCATAGAGATGAATTGAATCAATTAATCTCTATGAGGAAAGTTCAGTGTCTGCATGCAGAGGGAGGAGACACTGAATGTTTGGATGCATTTTAGGCAGCCATGACCCAGGAAAGATCTCTAAGGAGTGACCAGTGAAGTTATCACTAGGCTGTAATGTAAACACTGCATTTTCTCTGAAAAGACAGTGTTTACAGCAAAAAACCTGAAGGTAATGATCAAAACAAAACAAAAACTGGAATTTGCGCTATATGTCTGTTCAACCGTAATTCACCGCTGTCACATTAAGTGCACCCACACTTATTATATATAATTTTGTTCAGGAGAAACAGGGCTTTCATTTATCATTAACTATTCATATATGGAACATAATTTATTATGAATAAAATTAAAAAAAACATGAGAAAATAAGATTTTTTTTTAAATTTGTATTTCTGTCTGACATTTTAGTTGTGAATGTCATAATACTGCTAGGTTTTACTGCAAAAAAATGAACATATTTTTAATCAGTGATGTCTCACGAGTACAACAGTACCCCCCCATTAGCAGGTTTTACGGTGTTTTGGAAAGTTACAGGGTCAAATATAGAACATTCCATTTTCACATTGAAATTTACCAGATTAGTAATGTTACCTTTGAGACGGTGTGGCAGCCCAGGAATGAGAATTACCCCCTTAATGGCATACCATTTGAAAAAGAAGACAACCCAAGGTATTGAAAGTGGGGTATGTTTAGTCTTTTTTAGTACCCACTTAGTCACAAACACTGGCCAAAGTTAGTGTTCATATTTGTTTTTGTGTGAAAAAAGCAAACAACTAATGTTTGTGACTAAGTGGCTACTAAGAAAGACTGGACATACCCCACTTGCAATACCTTGGGTTGTCTACTTTTGCAAATGGTATGCCATCATGGGGGTAATTCTCATTCCTGGGCTACCATACGCTCTCAAAAGCAACATAACCAATCTGGCAAATTTCAATGTCAAAAAAATGAAATGCAAGTCTTATATGTGACTCTCTAACTTTCCAAAATACCATAAAACCTGTACATGGGTGTTACTGTTATTCTCAGGAGACTTCACTAAGCACAAATATTAGTGTTTTAAAACAGTAAAACATATTACAACAATAATATAGTCCATAAAAGTGCCGTTCGTTTTTACTTTTACTTAAAATATCATCGTTGTAATACAATTTACCCGTTTGAAACACTAATATTTGAGTTCAGCGAAGTCTCCCGAGTAAAACATTACCCCCTATGTACAGGTTTTATGGTGTCTTGGAGAGTTACAGGGTCAAATATAGTGCTTGCAAATTAAATTCTCTGCACTTTCTCCCTGTGTTGTCAGGCATGTCAATCAAATTTTAATTAATCAAATCACATAATTATGTTAAAAGACTACTTAAATATACACGTAGAATTTTAATATATATGCATTTATAGGTATTTAAATTCTATGTGTATACTAATGTAATCTTTTATGTAATTATATGTATTTATCTATATAAATATATATATATATTTGTGGTTATTTGTATTTTATATATAAATAGATATATATAGAATCTCATTGTAAGTGTATTTTGTTACCAATATATATATATTAATAACAAAATACAGTTAGAATTAAATTACATATGAATATATAATTTATATAAAATTTTTGTTTCAATATTTTATTTATTTTATTATTTTATTTATTCATTATTGTAATTATACATATTGCCCTCACAGTCCGCAGTTTTTATACCTATGGGCACTTTTCCATGAGTTTAGGCTAGCTTGCTATGAAAAAATCGTTATAGATATCTTTGCGTACACCTGGTTGTCATAACCCGATTGAGTAATACTGAATTTGTTAACGGTAATGGTCTCTCGATGCACGTGCTAATGGAATATGCTGCATACACCTAAGAATTGCAATAATGTCTTTACCCCACTAGCTAATTTGCATTAACCCTTTGCATGTCTGGCATACACCATACTAAAATTGCTCTGTCACATTCATTTGATAGATGCAATGTTAACACAGAATTGTTGGCACTTGAGCTAGAAAGCATGTGCACCTGAGATAACGATCACACATGGGACAAATGTTCAGGAAGGCAATTAGAAATAGTTATCTGTTGCTTAGTGAAAATGTAGGAAAAGGATATTTACATGGCTGATTATCGTTAGTATTAACGTTAGTGTGTTTGGTAAGTTATGGGGTTCAGGGTTAAGATAATAAATGTTATCAATATCCTACCATGTGCTAGGTAGGTGCACTTAAATCCATCACCATTTAATAACTGGGATAAGTAACATTTGAGTTTGATATGTAGTATCGCATAATCCACTCTGAACACAGACAGATGACAGACAGATAGATAGACAGACAGACAGACAGAGTGTCCCTGTCAATACACTTAATGATACATATTCACCTCTAAATACCTTTAGTTTTAAGCTCTAAGGAATATGTTCATACTATATAAATGCGGATATTTATGTAATAAATAAAATAAAACACAACTTAAAATATGAATGTCGCGGGCACAAGTTACATATGAATTTATCATATTAATAAACATAAAAATATTAAGCGCTACGGAATCTGTTGGCGCTATATAAATGGCAATAATAATAATACTTGTTATTTTGACTTACCGGTTGCCTGTAAGCACTTAACCAGTTTTTCCAGAGTAGGACTTTCAGCTGGTGAAAAAATGAAGCCATTGATTCCTAATGTCACTTTTAAAATGTATCAATAACTGTGTATTAAACACATTAAAAAAACAAAAACTATCTGATCTCACGCATAGCTGTAGGTTCTTTTGGAGTGACTGATAATGTAGAAATCTCAGACGTGGTTAAACAGCTCTGCGTGTTTAGCTGGTGAAAGCAGAGTCTTATTTCCTTGCTAATGAGCCCTGATTGTGAGTGGTGTTGTGTTCAGGGAAACCAGGAGATGCTTCTGATACACTGTACGGCCTTTAAAACACACCTTACTATCACCACTCCCCTGCTATTTCAATGACACACCTATAATTCATCTCAATGACATATGTCACACTTCAACAAACAGATTTATTGCTCGTGAAAGTGCTGCGAGAGAGGAAAATTTCACAATTTCCTGCTCTTCTAGGACTAAAACATGATCAAAAGCACTATTAGCAAGCATTATTTAATATATAAAAAAAGCTTCAAGTTAAGTTCATAAGATATTATACACTTCTTATATTTAAACAAACTAACAAGTATTAAATAGTGCATTTTTCAAGCAATTCCTTCATTAGTCTACATTGATAAATGGGAGAGGTGATCGTTCATTTACATATTGCAGATAACAACGATAAACAAAACAATTGCAAATTATGAAGAAATTCACCACAGCCGATCCGGTGAGCTGAACTGCCTTTAGTGTTTAGACAGACATTTTAAATAATAACCCTTTCCAGAGTTCTGTGGTGTGTTTGTCATCTTTATCTAAATGTAATCTCCATAATTAGAGAAATAATCAATTTGAGAAAATTTTCAACTTATTGATAGCCATGGTAATTAAGTGGGTTCAGGAATTGTTTTCTTATTAAATATTTTGATCTAGCAAAATTAATTAGATTAACATTCACACTTATTTATATAATTGTCAAAATGCTAAGGTTTTTTTTTATATAAGATAGCATTGCGATTATTTAAGACTTGCATAGAATTAGAATTGAGTTCAAAAGAAATTATATTTTATAACTACACATTGGTGACTTCTCCTGACAGTCAGAGTTACAGAAGGGTTTATCGTCCAAACTAATAAGTTTTGAGGAGTTAAGTAATCAAAGCACCTGTATCCCAATGACACTTCTACCCTGTACAGGAGCTTGATCCTTAAAGTTGGCATTGGTTAGACACAATGGACAAACTCAAGATTCCATACTTATAATGCAGTCCTTTGTGGCTTCTTAGCTATCCATGCTACTCGAACACATTGATATGCTTTGGTTTGTCTTTCTTGTTCACCTAGCTAGAGCACTTTATTATATTTACCTATTCATGCTTATCATAGCCATTAAACTGCTACTATCAAATAATAAATAAGCTGTACAATACATTCTATTATAAATCAATACCTTACTACACAGTTAAAACCTTATATTATTTTATGTTCATTACTGAATGAATCATAAGACACGAAAATAAAAATATTTTACATTCTTGTCTTTACTTTTAAATAAAATTTATGATCATTACTTGATTGAAGTTAAGTTAAGTTATGTGAACCGTTGTTACACCTATCTTTATGCTTGTACTGTACTTTTCATATCTGCCTCAATAAAAAAAAAAGAGGTTTTAAAAATGTCATCAAAGCACCTGCCAAAAGGGTCTTGACTATTTTTTCCTTAATCTGTTTTGGCGCAGGGGTATTGGGAACGTTAACTTATATGCATATAGTGAGAAACTGTGTTAGATGAAACTCAAGAGGGTAGAACATGGAAAAACATGATTATCAGATTCCAAAGGTCTCAAACGTGTTCCATTTTAAAAAGAAACTTACAAAATAATGCTTTAGTGGTGCACCACATCCGTCAAAGTCTTTAGGATGGGTAGTATGCTGTATATCACCAAATGTGTAGACTTGGCCAAACATGGTCCACATCTGGGTATGGGTAAAAACCCTTCTATAAGATGTCTTTATTGGGCCTTTTGATTTTAAACCATAGAGGGGGACATCAATCATGTTCAGAAATGACTCTAAAACGTACTCAGGCAGCTTGTAGAGCCATTTCACAAGTTACCTTAAATAATATTCAACGGATGTATAGGTTTATAAACAGTATCTAAGCTACTATAATTTCTTATCACAAGATATGGAGCCCATGGGAAGAGTATGAAGGCAACGCAGTAAACATTTCCCTCTGTTTGTTAGAAAGGCACTATTCATTGACTTGGACCACTCTTTTTTATCTCCCTATTTATTTATTTTTAGAATCTTACTTTTATTAGTGTTCTTTTTTTTATGAGGTTTTCTTGTTTGTTTGTTTGTTTTTTGGGGGGGGGTTTAACCTACAAAATGTGTTAAATAAATGTTGTTATTTTTGTGTGTGTCTGGTTTTCTTCCGTACATTTGTTTTGTAAACATGATTACAAATCAAGTATACATGAAAAGAATTCAAGGGGAGTTACCACCTCTCTGGAATTTATTCCACTGTATAAAACATTGAAAATCACATGTAACTTGTTTTAAGCTTCATTTTTTTTTTCTAGGAAATGTTCTGTTTTTATTTAAATTTATATAAAAGTGTTAAATTATATCATTATTCAGTTTAAATAAGGCAAAACCAGAGAAAAAAATACAAATCGAGACAGCTGATTAAAAAGGGAGAGATTCACTCCCAAACGGAAAATACATTTAAAGCAAAATACATTTAGTTCATCATTTAAAATGCTCAGCTTGGACTGCACATCAGAGTGGAAGGCACACTTACTATGACAACTACGTGTTTTGTGCCTCACTGGCACTTAATCAGAAACTTCACCATGGCAAAATTGCAAATGAAAAGGAGATAATATGTACTCTTCGGAATATGCTTTCTCTATGCTAACTGCCAGAGACACAGCTTATAGCAATGAATGACACTAGCTGAAACGGAGGTGCCGGTTGCAGGATAAAGAGGTATGGATTTTTACATTTAATTTCATATTTAACACTTCACAAATTGAAATTGTTACATATAGGGTTTGGTAAACATAATAATAAAAATCATGGGTAACAATCCTGAAGGTTCCCTTTTAATTTAAAAAGAAAAAAAAATAACATAAACGTTAGATTTACTCTTACCAGTTTTAATGAAAAAAAATACATAACAAAACAAAAATATTAAAAACACGAATTTGAACTTGTGAGTTTAATTTTCAGTACTCACAGTATATACACTAAATGAGTCAGTGGCCTCTTATAGGAGCACTGTTTACATGATTTTAACAAAACTGGGTTTATAAAAAAAAATACAAAGAGGAGGAATTTCAAAGTGATACATAGTCAATTATGCACAGACATAAATGCAGTAAGCAATTAGCTCAGGAAGAGAGCCTGAAGGATGTAGTCACCTTTGTCATGCACCTTCTAGAAAAGAAGAAAAAACACAGTAACAGAAATGAGTGACAGAGTAGGGGATCAGGGCAAGATGTCATACAGAAAGGCAGAGATAAAACATTGGATAAGCAGTTAATGGAGCTGGAAGAGCGCAGGAAGCTTGATTGGAGCTATATGGCATGTTAATACACATGGGTTTCAGATATAGTTCTATTGTGCTATGTAGTCATGTATTTGAGAAATGTATTTTTTTATATCATAAATAATACCCCCTTTTGTTGTGTTGTTACAATGAGATTGATGTATTTCAGTTATTGGAAATATGTTCTTGTTTAATACGTACGTTGTGACTCGCTTTCAGCATTTCTGAATCATTATACAATCTTTGGAAAAAGAAACTTAAAAAGAAAATCTTATAAAATTGTTGTACATTAAAAGTGAATATTATATAATGCTGATTTGTTACGTTATCTATAAAGATAATGCCCCATCATTCTACATTACTTTGTGTCATGTGCTAACACGAGACCCATAAAGTACAGTTACACCCACACTATTTGCACCTGATATGACTACAAATGGCTGTATTCATATACTTTAGAATAAATGATTCAAGATCATATGAGTATATGTATATAGATAGATATATAGGTTATGGTGGAGAGTAACAGGTGACCAGAAAAAAAAATCGTTCTATACATTCACATAAAAAAGAACAATCTGTTTAAAACACAGTTATTTCAACATTATGTTATTCCTGCCACTGTCCTGGAATGTCATGTGACAATATGCAAACTAGCAAACAGTATGTCACGCAAAGATTCTGGCCACATACCTGTAGTTTCTTTTAACATCTTAAAGTCTTTAGACACATCACAAAAGAGTTCCAAATGACACGTAATTGTTGACATCATGACAAAAAAGTGATCACACAGTCATGTGCAGTGTATGTGGACTGACACCTCACAGAGCCCTCGGGCAGTGGGTGATCAAGGGCCCGCCCTCCTGGTCCTGGTACAAGGTACAAGGTTTTCTGGTCCCCTGCTATTCTTCTCCCCCTTCTTTCTGCTGCTTTTACACATATACAGTTGCAAGAAAAAGTATGTGAACCCTTTGGAATGATATGGAGTTCTGCACAAATTGGTCATAACATGTGATCTGATCATCATCTAAGTCACAACAATAGACAATCACAGTCTGCTTAAACTAATAAAACACAAAGAATGAAATGTTGCCATGTTTTTATTGAACGCACCATGTAAACATTCACAGTGCAGGTGGAAAAAGTATGTGAACCCTTGGATTTAATCACTGGTTGAACCTCCTTTGGCAGCAATAACTTCAACCAAACGTTTTCTGTAGTTGCAGATCAGACGTGCACAACGGTCAGGAGTAATTCTTGACCATTCCTCTTTACAGAACTGTTTCAGTTCAGCAATATTCCTGGGATGTCTGGTGTGAATCGCTTTCTTGAGGTCATGCCACAGCATCTCAATCGGGTTGAGGTCAGGACTCTGACTGGGCCACTTCAGAAGGTGTATTTTCTTCTGTTTAAGCCATTCTGTTGTTGATTTACTTCTATGCTTTGGGTCATTGTCCTGTTGCAACACCCATCTTCTGTTGAGCTTCAGCTGGTAGAC